TGCCCCAGCGAGGGATCGCTTCCTGGTGAGAATAACCGCAACGTACAGCGTGTACAAAGGAGGGGAGTAGCTTCCATCCAGTATTCACACAGTCTCTCTGTAATCAATCTTGTTTAATTAAATGTTTCATAATTTGCTATGGTACTCTTTTTTTTTTTTTGGGATTCCATCAAAGGCAGCTTTTCAAAAATGATTTTCTATATTCTCCCTGTGGTTTCCATATATTATTTTCCTTGTGATTCTTTATGGATAATTGCGAGATGCAGCAGCCAAAAGCTCCTTCTCATTCCAAGTCCATCCAAGCTCACCCTATAGTTTCTAATATGAAGGCTCTACAATTGTCTGTTTTGGGCAGGCTTGCATGCACGGCACATTACTGCCAAACATACACATGGCCGTCAGCATGTCCCTTTTTTCTTTATCTGAAATTTAGTACACAGTAGAAATGTATTCCGAGGATCCAGATGGTGGAGGCGGGCATCCTGTTCATGGGTCATCAGTATAAACGCATACACAACGTAGGAAAGTAAAGGTATAGCCAGCACTGGCACCTGGAGAGGAGCCCACGGAGGCTTTTAGTGGGTACAGAACTTACTCTTATATTTCTTGATACAAATGGTGAATGTATAATCACTCATATTCTATTTGTAGTATTGCTGTCAAACGATTAAAATATTTAATCACGATTAATCACATTTATGTCCTAGTTAACTCAAAAAATCCCGATTGCAGATTTTTATCTGTTTTAAATGCCCGTTCATTTTTTTTTTCCATAATCTTTTTTCATTTTAATGCTCTTATCAACATAGAAAAGTGGATTGACTTTGCATTCATTTATTTATTTATTATATTGAATAACATTGCCAAACAGGGCGGTACAAAAAGACAAAGTGCACATTTGAGGTAAACAAGGACATGGCCTATAGTATACCGTTAAACCATGGCTTAATATTTCCTTCATGTGTGGACCACCATTCCTGGGGTCATTCATCCCAAAATTAAATAAAAAAGTTTATCTCGTAATACAAAAAATCATCGTTGTTAAAATGGGTTTGTATTAACGTTGTTAATAACGCATTTAACTGACAGCGCTAATTTTTAGTTTAACAAGCGTTTGAAAACAGCATAAAGGTGTGACTAATGAAGGTGTTCTGTTACCTTTATACCGGCTTTAAAAGATCATACCACCTTAAGGAACCCATCTAATGGACATGGCTTCAAATGATTCCCACAAAACACAATCTAACACAAAATGAATTCAAACAAAATGAACCTTGACTATCATCCAATTACAGATCTGAATCTGCTCTATCAAACTGGCGGGATCTAGTTGTGTAGTACTTTGTCTTCTTGTCTACATTGTCTTCTTGTCTCTGTATCTTGTGTAGCTGGTTGTAATGTTAAACTGATTATTATTGTGCTTGGACTGGTGATTGTTTGAACTACCAGTCATCCGCTGCCCCACTCATCAGAGGTAATGCTACAGGGACACACAGGTTCAGATTTTAATGGCCACTTGTGTGTGTGTGTGTGTGTGTGTGTGTGTGTGTGTGTGTGTGTGTGTGTGTTTAGTCTGCTGTCACAGGGAGCGTGGTAACGGCGTTGTGACGGTGTGTCTTCACCCATTGGGTCCAACTTGCACTGTATTAAGAAGTAAGTAACCCGAACGCATTATTGCATTCATCCTTTTTGGTCATGATGGCAATGATGCATTTCAAAGATATTTCTTTGTGATCTGATCAGCAAACAAACGTCTGTATGGAGCCAAATCCAGGTCAAAAGTTTTGTTCATTTGAAAAACAAATGTGAACCTAAAAGTTTAGGTTTTGTATTTGAACGTTGAAAAATACAACGCTGTATTCAAAATAAAAATAAGTGAAAATATAAAATCTGCAACCGAAAAATATAATACAATCATAAAAGAAATGTGAAGATTGAAAAAGATTGAAAAAGAAATATAGAGCTGAGTCAAAACTATATTCGTCCTGAAAATATTTTTCGTTTCTTAAACTTTCCTCTTTGATTGTGCCTATAGTTAGGGCTGGCTCAGGTTAGCCCGGACCAGCCCTTAGTTAAGCTGCTATAAGCTTAGAATGCCGGGGGAATTCTTAGGACACACCGAGCTCCTCTCTCACGCTCTCGTTCTACCATAATTCAAGTTTTATTAATGCACATGACTAATTCAGCTTCTTTCCGGGAGTTTTTTTTTTGTGCTTTCTCCCCTATCAGGTCTCCGTAGATCGTGGTTCCTTCGGGACCCTGGTCCTGACACCTGCTGTGGCCATGCTGACGCCTGCTGCTGCCATCATCATCATCATCATCATTATTTTAGATATTAATCATATTACTGTACTCGTAAACCAACATTACCCTCTCCTTAAGTCTCTGTGCTCTCCCTCCCCACAGGCTTCTGTGGATGGTGGTTCTATGTGATGGTGGTTCTATGTGATGGTGGTTCTATCTGATGGTGGTTGCCCCTGCAGTGGTCCTGCTGTGCGCCTGGCTTACTACTTACAATTACTTGAATCATTTCTGTCATAGGAGTTGCATGTATTATACATTGTTCATTCTCTACACGTGGCATCCATTGTAGTCTGTCCATCCCGGGAGTGGGATCCCTCCTCTGACGTTCTCCCTAAGGTTTCTTCCCTTTTTCCCTCTTGGAAGGGTTTTTTCATTTTTTGGGGAGTTTTTCCTGTGCCGATGGTGGGTTTCGGGACAGAGGATGTTGTATGTGTACAGACTGTAAAGGCCTCTGAGACAAATTTGTAATTTGCGATTATGGGCTATACAAAATAAAATGAATTGAATTGAATTGAAAGCATTCACATCTAATTTTGAAATGTTTCATTCATATTCATTTAAGAAATGGCAGCTCAAATTCATGAAACCTTTCTTTTCAACCTGTGTTAGTTTTTTATTATCAATGAAATAATTAATCATTTCAATGAATGTAATTATTCAGAAACCTTAAGCAAGAACATTCCTGCATGTTAACCCACCACCTTCTGAACGCGCTGCTCTATTATATCTATTCTTCATCAGAATATACTGATTAGATGTACAGTAAAGATAACCGTTACCTTTGGCTCTTTTTTTTTCATTCTGCCAAGCGTGTGGAAAAGATGATAGTGAGGAGTTATCAAGGAAATACCACAGAACTCAGACACGCCCCCCTCCTTTCCCCTCGCAGAAACAGACAGAAATGGAAGCTTTGGGGTTGGGGGAGAAGAAGTGAGCGCTATAGAGCATCAAGGGATAATTATGGTTAATTGCTGCTTTGTGGATGTGAAGTCTGCATGCAAAGAAAGTGACTAACCTCGGGCTTTAGAAACCTTTACGAGGCACACGGGAGAGCTTTGAAATACACAAAGTGCCATTGAGTGTTTATGACAGGTGGGGATATGAAAGCCACTTTGAGATTATGAAAGGAATGTCTACTACTAGCTACTAGTTCAATTTTACGTCCCTGTGGTTTGATATTGTCTCCGCAAATACTTTGTAGAATCAGTAACTCGGAGAGCTGAACTTTACTTTGCAAACACGGGTTGTTGGTATCGTTGTGGACTTTAAGGTTTCTTCCTAAAGTGAGACATGTTAGAAGTGTAAAATGAAAGGTGAAAGTAAACACTTGTGTAACGCTCACATGTCCAGATGCTGTTGAGTACTGTCAGTTTTGAAATGCTAGTTTGTGTTGTTGTCAAACTTCACATCCCAAGAGAGCTGATCTGACCAACTTCTATCCAAACAGGGCTAAGAGGCGCTTCTGGCCATCACAATTTGGTTGCAAAAGTCCAAAGACGTTACTTATCCCTATTAGGAGTAATTCTGATATTAGTTACGCTTCATCTTCATAGTGATAATGTGACACCAAAGAATAAAAGCTGTATTACACTAACCAGACAAACTTGTTCATAGTTTATGTTTAATCTGATACTTTACAGAATGTTATTATGTGGTGCAGCTGTTGTCATGTTCTCCACAGATCCCTCAAAGATGAATCAAGCATTCACTGGTTCAAATGTTGCTTTTCTGGAGTATTTCTTCTGATTACCACCACGTTGGATTGTAGGTCCCTCAAGGGACACCAGCAGCTTGTCAATCATCTAGACTTTCACACCTGCAGTCGGTCTGCGTTCTGCTTTTGGAGACGGCTGCAGAGGTGCACCTTTTGATAATTTGCCGTCATCATATTTCATGTGCTAAAAAGGTCAAAAGATTGGTTGACAAGTTTTGAAATTGTTACCATTGGAAACATGGCAACCTTTCTTGTTAAATCTTGACGTAGTGAGATATATATCTTATTCCTCTGTGCCATAAGGGACGAGCGTGGCGCCTGGAGGAGGGTGTGCCGGTAACCTCAGGGTTTGACGGCTCGAACCCCGGCTGCTCCATACAACTAGATGTAAAATATGGCTCTATTATGTCGACAAAATTAAACAAGAATTTTGAAACCGTATCCAATTTTGTAATTTCTTCTCAGAAAATGTATTTAAATAGATGCTGCCTTATTTGCATACATACAATTATCTATAGCTCTGTCTCTGTCCCTCTGTCTGTCCCTCTGTCTCGCTCTTGCAAAACAAGGCCACGTGGGAGTAACAATTGAGTGCGAGAGGAATGATTGGGTGAGCGGGATCCGGTGAGTTGAGCGGACAGAAGCCTGATTGGCTGGCTGAGGTGTCACTCATCCGTTGCACGCACTGCGCAGATAGTCCCACGTTCTTCTTTCTTTCTTTACGGAACAGGTTTGTCGTGGTTTACAAAGGAAGTTTCTTCATTGTCATAGAACCAAAGACAGGAAGGTGTAAAAGTAGAAAAGGCGAAGAACGTTCCCGCTTTTGTTGCATTGTTTGGAGTGAATTAGAAAAAAATAACTCGCACTCTCAGATGCTGAGGGCGCAATTACGCACGTCCTGCGTCTACCTCGCCCCTTTTTGCCATCACTCTCTCTCTCCCTCTGTCTCTCTCTCTCTCTCTCTCTCCTCACACACACATACACACACTCTCTCACTCTCCGTGGGAGTAAGTGTGTAAGTAAAGAAGGGACGAGGAAACGAGAGAGAAGGGAGAGAGAGAGAGCGTGATTCCAGGTCTCTCTCTGCTGCTCTCTCCACTTTGGGTACCCATTCTGACTCAATGGGGCTTCAGCACTAAGGGGTTAAACGTTCAAATAAAATATATTTATTCAGCCCTAAATCTCCTTTAGTGTTTAGGTTTGATGCATTAAGACAGACGGACAGGTAACCATCAAGCAAGGTCTCGTGGAGAGAGGCAGAGAGTCTCCAGAGGCGTGCCTTGCTGGTCCGTTGCCTCGCAGAAGCTCTAGTCGGGTCCCTGTCGTCGGCTGGCTCTCTGCGCGAGGATAACTTCCACCGTACTCCACACAGCCCATCCAGGCCGGCCAACTACTGCAACACTATGGATACTGGAGATTGTCCCTACCGGAAGAAACGGAGACCATGGCGCATGGACATCTCATCCTTCGCCTTGGGAACCCTGGTGCTCATCGTGTGCCAAACGACCGTGGTTCGGTCAGGTAAGACGGCTTCTTTTATTTCAAGTTTACTGTGCGTTTGGCCACCTTTTGGGTCTTCTTTTTTCAGTTTGAAATGTCTTCATCCCTGACTGTCTGCCTGTGTTTACCGTGCGTAAATGCTCGTGCGTTGTGGGACGCTTGAGCACCGACCATCATTTTTTGTTTTAGGTTGATGTTTGACTATCTACTATCGACTTGCATGTACTTAATTGCCGCCAAATTTCAAAAGCATCGTAGGGTGACTTATGCTTAGTTTCCTAAAGGCCTTATGTGGCCATGGTACCGAACATATGGACATTGACAGGAAACTCTTAAGAGTTAACTGTGTTGCTTTTAGTGCTGCGTCCCATACAATCAAACAAAGAAAATACTCAGTATTGTGTATTATAACGTTTTTTTATCACGCAGTTTGAACCTGGCCAGCCTCAATTGATTGTTGCTGCAGAAAAACGTTTTTTATATCGTTTCTCTGAACTTTCTTCCCTCTGCTGTCTGTCCGTCTGTCCGTGCGTGCGTGCGCATCCTGCTGACAGGTGTCACACTGTGCTCATATTGCAGGAATCCACCTGTTTTTTGTCGTTCTGAACGACTGGTCCAATGTTGACTTTTCCAGTTTATCGTTGTACAAACTTAATTTCACTCCCAAGAATCCCGCTGAGCCCTCTTGTGGCCCCCGCCCCTCCACCGGGGGCCACAGGGTAGGACGGTGCAAAAAGCTCCAGTCCAAATCCAGTATTTTGTGTCCCGTATAGGTAGACTGGGCTGCCAGCAGGTACCGTGCGCTCTGCTGGGTTTCTACCAGTTCTGCCGGTAAACCGGTCAATCCATCACTTTCCCTTGTGGGACCACATTGTAATGCGTGTATTCTGTTTGATACTGAGAACCAAAGACCAGAAATGTTTCATTTATATCTGCATGTTTGGTTGCAAACATTTTTCCAGTGGGAAGTGATTACTTTGTTTTTCCGTCACTCTCCTCAGGTAGAGGAACGATGGAGTTTTTCCGATGTGCAGGTTTTGGAGCAGAGGATGCCGCATGTGTACGGACTGTAAAGCCCTCTTAGGCAAATTTGGATTTGCGATTTTGCGCTACACAAAATAAATGGAATCTGAATGCGCTGCAGTTCCCTCGCGCACCGCTAGTTGTCATGACAGACTTTTGTAACAGAGGATCCATTGATTCACTATTCAGTTCAGAATGACACGCGGCCCCCCACTGAAACAAATCAAATTAAAGATAAATGCAGGATTTCGGATTTCTTTTAACTTCAGCAGGACGAGTTTTGGAGACGATTTATGAGGTTTTAACTGACCATTTAAAAAAAAAACATTTCGGTCCACTACGTTGGAAAGGTTTATTCTGACTATTATTTAATAATAATATGAGTATGTAGCGTTACGTGTACACACAGCGCGCCTCGGTGGACAGATGTTTTTTATCTCCTCGCGGCGGGGACAGCTCGCGGGGACCCGCGCACCTTTTGGGACATAATGACCGTCCCCCCGTGTGTTCTCTGGCCCCGTTTCCAATTTGCTGATTGGAAGAGGCGAACGCACCTTCCCGCGGTGTCCCGTGTGTACCTTGGAGGCGGAGGACGGAGCCGTCCTCTTCCACTATGAATAGGTTAGTGTAGCCGCGCGGGGCTGAAAGCGTCCACTGTGCGCGTGTCTATGTGCGCTTTGTACAGTTCTGTTTGTGTACGTATGCGCCTGTAAACTATGGAGGGGTGGAATGCATGCCACACGTATGTGAATGTCCCTCTGTGTGCAACACCTCGTGCATGTTGCATTTGTCATGTAAAGGAAATACGTCAGACGCGATGTGCGCGCGAAGGTGCTCTTCTGATGTGATTACAAAAAAAACGACACTGCAAGAGTGATACTTTTAAAAAGAGTAATTTAACCTGCTTTATTTATTTCTATTTTGCTGACAGCGTCCCATTCGCGCACGATGGACCACGCACGCGCGCCGTCTAGACACACGGCGCATGCGCGCAGCCTGGTGCCGCCGCGCAGATGTTAGTGTGAACTAAACGGGGCCCCACCCAAGCAGTGAAAGACCGATTTACACAGTGGTCAGAATCGTTCATGGTTATTCTCTATTCCCTGAGAGCAGACTGGGTGAGGAGAGAGGAGAGAGGAGAGGAGGAGGAGGAAGAGGAGGTAGGAGAGGAGGAGGAGGAGGAGGCCTGCAGGAAGGCATGAAAGCTGAGTGTTGTTCAAAGGAGGTAGAAAATCTGAAGGCAATATTTTCTTGACATGGATGTTCCTCAACCTCATTTCAAAGCTGAGAGCTCCTCAAAGGGCCGTCTGTCTGGGTTTCTCTCTCTCTCTCGGTGAATAGAGCTCTTATATTTGGTGGGGCGGCTCATTGCTGCGACTGGATGGTGTTTTCAGTCTGTTGGTACTTGTGATCCAGTCTGGCAGCGTTGTCCCCTCGGTGGCTCCCTGCCGCTTTGCCATCATTTCCCCCGTGGGCCCCTGTGGCTGTGGTGGCCCACAGACGGGGGCATGAGGTACAGAAGACCCCGGTGCATGCTGGCCCCCACAGTGCACGAGTTACTATAAGAAGCACATCAGGCTGCACTCACACCGTGTTTGTGGAGATGAATTGTCACAAATCAGTCATTTGTGATGCACATGAAGCACAAAGGAAAGAACTCTGAGGGACGTGGGTCGTTCATCCTGATGTCTGACCTATAGTCATCTGTTCATTACCAAACTTGTTTCCTGTGAATTTTATTTTTTTTAAAAAGGCCTGTTTATTTCTTAGTGCTGGTAAGGATGTATAGTCGAGGATCTCGGTTCTAAACCATCACACTGGGAACTTGTAAAACACTCCTTTCTGCAGACTTCAAGGAGCACAGCGAGTAGCAGATGGATCTTTGATGGTGATTCGGCGGTTTGTGTGTGTGTGTGTGTGTGTGTGTGTGTCTCTGTCAAGGCTTCGGCTTCATTCCTCCAAGGCTTTCAGTTTTATCAGAAGATACCGGGACGCCAGCAAAGTAATGACAGGCTGTCTGTATAGGATGCTATTCCGAGTGACTGTAATTCTGCGGCGCAGGAGCACGCAGGGACCAGCTGTGTGCTCCCGCATGTAATATATAATATTAAGGTACATCTCTTGACCAGACATCAAAACAGTTTTTGAAAACAGTTCGAGATGGTAATTTAACCACCAATGTAGAAGAAAGAAATCTGTTCATCACAGCAGAGTCCTGTCCTCTGTGTGCAATTGCATAACTTATCTGGGAATATTGGAATATCGCAGTGATCCCCAACGATCTACTCACATGAATAAGTGTCGCTTGCATAAGTTGCTTTTGTCTTCATCACAATGTTCAGATACCTCTGTTATTAAATATCTTTCATTTAAATATAGTATTCAGTGGCTTATGGTAAAAACCTTTTGACTCTTCCTCAAATGACCAAAGCGGGTTTTTATTGCTTTGCAGGTTTAGTTTATTCTTTATAAATGATGAGTACATTTAGTGATTTTCGAATGATTAGACTTTCATCACAATTTTCTTTAATAGTCCAGTTTATAAATAGCAAAGTAGTGTAGCAAAAGTAATTATATAAAGTAGCAGCTTCATATCATTAATATTGTCGGCATTATCTTTAAGTGTTAAAAATAGCCGTACAGGGAAGAGTGACCGACCTAGACGGACCCCCCCCAATGGGCCCCCCAGGCAGAGGCTGACCGGTCCCTGCCTGCCTCCCGGTCCTGGTGCAGTAGGTCTCGCAGTGTCAGGCTCCGCCCTCGGGTCTAAACTAAGACTGCGGCCTCCAGCCCAGAAACCACACGAGACTCCAGCCCGACGCGTCGGCAGCGCGGACCACATAATGGCACTCGGGGGACAGTGGAGGTCTGCTCGGACATGTGCTGGCTGCAGCTCCCCAGTGGAGGGAGTTGGGAAAGCACATGCAGCACAGCATTGTAGGGGCGGAGAAACCACACGGGCTGCGGGATTCATCCGTGGACACACTTATCAGTGGTGATGGAAGCAGGTGTGGACAGATGGGATCACGAGATCTTGTTTGCAGTGAGAGAAGAATGTTTTTCCTTCTTGATAACGATTAGTACAGGGAATCAAGATTGACTTAGAAGTTCACTAAATAATTACCAAAACCATCTGACCTGCTTGACCTCCTAGTTCCCCTTTGGTCATCGACAAAATATGTTGGATTCAACGTGAATAATGTTCCACTTTCCCTCAACTTCTGTGTCAGGACGTTAAGGATCACACTGGCTCCACCAACAAGGAGCCAACGTTCTGTTCCGTTACAGTTGAAAGGTGAAACTCTATGATTCCCATCAGTCGTATGACTTAATGTCACCACTAAGATGAACGAGGACCATTGTTTTAGTCGTGGCCTTCACTCATTTCGCTTCCACAGGCTTCTTTAAGACACCTAAAAGCAACAACAGTTTTCACTAGAGGGTTGTTAACCTACTTATTTTAAATTGTGGAATAAAAGTTAACGACAGACCTTATTTTAAGCATCTAACCAAAAACCCATTAAGGAAACACATTGGCTTCTAAACGAGGGAAACAAACCAGACACACTGGCTCACTTTTGGGTTGTTGGACTCATTCCTGCATGCTTAGGTCTCACACTCAACTCACCTGTCAGATATTTTCTTTAGATAAACAGACACAACTTTCTCAAGTGTTTTGATCTTCTAATATCATTATCTTGTCCTATAACTCAACTCCTCCAGCAGAGTTCACTACTGCTCTGCCCCCCCCTCAGGCCCCTAATACACAGTGGCACATAACGTGCTTTCTACATGATAATTTACACCACACTGACAAACCGAACCCTCATTTTATACTATATAAATAATGCGGAGGTCTAATCATCCCCTTCTTACAGCACGGGTACTTATAATGGATTTTCTGTCTGTGTGCAGAAGGCTTTATAAATAAATCGTAACTACAGAGCAGCATGTTGAAAATGACTACCTGCAGCAGCTCGCACGCCGAGCGTGGTCACGCTGCATGACTGACGTATACTTTACGCCCTTTTGGGGAGGAGACTCAAATATTTAGAAAGAAATCCGTTGTTGGAGTGTGCGTGTGTGTGTGTGTGTGTGTGTGTGTGTGTGTGTGTGTGTGTGTGTGTGTGTGTGTGTGTGTGTGTGTGTGTGTGTGTGTGTTATTCTAGTCACTGGGGTCGGTACTTATAGGTAGAACCGTGGGAGATAAATTATTGGATTTATACCTGCAGTACATCTTTTAACCTAACGAGGGAGTCTGAACGTTGACATCGTTGGATAATTGTATTCTACTGAGGACATTGACTCTAATAGTAAGGCTGGTATATATTCTGTAAGTTTAACTGAACAGAGGAAATTACGGAATGAGATAAGTACTAACTTATCTTATATAAGTATTATATGATGTCAATAACACAAAGTTGTTACTTAGAGTACGTACAAATGTGAACCTCTTATAATAGCAGATTAACATATTCAGGATATTACAGGGAGAAATGACAAAAGCAAAAAATGGTCAATTTACACAAAGATTATCTTTACTCATAAATAAGGCCATTAAGAATTGGACAGCAATGTTTTCTTTTATTAATTGACTCCCCAGGAGTTCACCTGTGGTCAATATTGCACATCCCTCTTGTCGGTGTGTCTAACAATGTGGCCGTTGTGTAAAGGCAGAGGTCAGGGGTCAGCGTGTCAGCTGGAGTGTCTGTCTGGTATTTGGCACAGCGGCACCAAAAGAGGAAAGGGCACACAGGCACATTCACACACAGACACACAAATCTTTACACAGAGTATCTGAGACTAAATGTTTTCAGTTGTCACCTCACACAGGTCTCAGTGTGTGCATGCAACATACTCAGGTTTCAACCTAGAACGTTGAAGGACTGTCTGTCTATGCTGGAGATGTTAAGCTCGAGTTGTCCTCAGTCAACCATTGACAATATTTATTTTTATCATTCAATATAATAATAATAATAATAATCATTCAGTCATTTTCCTCATTGACTTATCATAACCTAAGATCCGATAACCCTTTATAAGTAGTGTACTCACAAGGCAAATAGAGAAGCTTTGTGTGCGTTCTGTTTGTCAAGTCACTCACTCTGTTCAGTGACAGCGCGTCTCAAATATTTCAGTAAGCGTTAGCATTGTTTATCTCTCACTGTGAGTGTGTGTTTGCATAGTGTGTGTGCACATAAACACGTGTGTGTGTTTGTGTGATCGTGTGACCAGGTGTGTACAACACCACGCGGTTCCTTCCAGGCTCCCTGCTCAGTGAATTCAATCCTTTCAGCTCCACCTAGTGGCGGCTCAGGAGAACTACACCGAGGAAAACCATTGCTGTTTTGTACATTGTGGCTTCCCACCTGAGCATCACGTGGTGGTGGTCTGCATGTGTGGGCCGTTGTGGATCTATAGAACCGAGTGGGTAATAGCTTTGTTCATCCCAAGGCTCCTGTATTCACCCACTAGCTTGAGCTTTACTGCTTCTAAGCACTGCAGACTTTAGAAAAGTATACTGCAAGATTTAAAACATAGATATACTTGCGCTTTTTCTAAAATCTTTGGTTGAGTTAAGCTGTTCAATCAGAAGGGGACAATCTTTTCCCTCTGATGTTCCCCAACTCCCACAACCAATTTATGTTTAATTCTGACTCATTAGTAACGTCAGGTAGATGATGTTTTAGTAATTAAGGCACTTTTAATTTATGTGCTCACTCGAGGTCAGTCAGGGGGACTGCACAGACTACGGTGATCTTTACCGGTCGCCCCCCCTTTTCCTGTCTTATTGGCCGTATAGTGATTGGCCCGCCTTCAAGTCAAAAGGCCGCATCCATCTGCTAGCGCTCACGGTGAGAAGAGTAAGAAAACGGGTTAGAAGGGGAGCAGCGGGGGACTTTCTTCCTCCCGGTTTCGTATTTGCCACCCTTCGTCTCCTGAGCTGCCTCTGCGGCCCCTGCATGTTATTTTTCTGGGTGTGTTTTTGTCGTGATTGAGGTCCTCCAGGCAGGAAGGGCCCCGGCTGCAGATGTGAGCTGGGCAGCCAGCGGGGAACAGAGCGCCACATTGTACTGGGCGTACTGGGGGAGCTCGGGCTGCAATCTGATCCAGTATCCTGCCATCGCAGAACCACGCGGTCTACTGTCACTGCCTGAGCCCCCCCACAACCCGCCCTCCACCTTTGCCTGAACCTCTCCCTCCCTCCTACCTCGCTCAATCTTCTCATGCACAGCATTCCTTTGCAGACCTGCAGAATTTTTGAAAAGTAGAAGGGAAGCTTGGACATTTCTGTGAATCCTCCTGTTCACTTTGAATATTGTAACTTATTAATACAAATCATAAAGTCCGTTCAAATGTAGAGTGCTGCAGAGATGAGTCCTTTTTGGTTAAAAACCAGGGAAGTCATTACACTGGTTCCCTGGACAAAAGGCCATGGATTTTTACTTGATTTTGGTTTATTGTAGAAAACAATGCAGTAATCTATTAAATGTGGTATTTTCTCCCAGAGAACAAAGCGTGGAACCTCTTTAGTTTGGGTTAACTGCATCAATAACCAAAAACCCATCGACTTCAACACAAGGGTGAAAGAAGGGAAAAAATGCTGACTCATTTCTGGGTTTCAGGACTCTTACATTTTCAAAAGGGAACTTTTGCCTTTGTTTTGCCCCCCTCCCTCGGGTGGAGGGTGAAGGTAATGGACTGTGGTGTAGACACCCTGAGGCAATTTTAACGCGCCATTTGCTCTGTCAGAATAAATATCAGCACCCGTGGGCCAGTTTGACTGACTGTTAAACCTGAGACACTGTGTCACCTAAACACAAGAGCCAGGGACGGGGTCGCCGTGGTTTTTAGGACCGCTGTTTAAATCGCAGTGTTTTGTGATACAACAGATGACAAGACATCAAACAGTAATAAAGTCAACCTGCACAGTGTGCTTACTCTCCCTCTGATGTGACCCGAGGTTCTCTGTGCTTTGTTTACAAGCCTTTTAGTGCACCTGAGTTTAAACTGACTGTCACACAGAAGATTGTCAGTTCATTCAACGTTTCCCCAGAAGAAGGACTAGAGCTTTTCAAATTGAAACACGCAGACTGACTGAGTTCCTTTGAGCAATGTGGGGAAGCCGACGAGGTAAACCACACAGCAGACACCGACTTGACCTCAGCGTGTAGACAGGATGTGAGCCTGGTGGTACAGTAACTGTGTGTGTGTGTGTGTGTGCGTTTAGGTGACGTTATGTGATGTTAGGAGGTATAACAGAGACCTGGTGTGTGTGTGTGTGTGTGTGTGTGTGTGTGTGTGTGTGTGTGTGTGTGTGTGTGTGTGTGTGTGTGTGTGTGTGTGTGTGTGTGTGTGTGTGTGTGTGTGTGTGTCAATGTGAAACATTGAAATGCTCGTCTATCCTCTTTCATGTGACTCTACCACATCCACTGCCACTGGTGTGCTGGTCCATGTGAGCCGAGGCGACGGACTTACCCAGCCTCGACACAGTTGTCCCTTTCTGACCTCATGCCAGAATGTACAGCGGTTTCCATTGTGGACGTCTCCTGTACATGCTCCTGCTTGCATTAATGCAAGAACTAATCTCAGATGATTTAAGATTCTTTAAGATGTTTTCATCATCTGGGCCAAAATGTCCTCTAGTTTTGATACAAAAACATTGTACAGAAGTCAACTTCACAGTGATCTCTATTCAGCCTGGAGAACAATGATGCTTCTTAAACTATTTGAGGAAACCGCTTGTTTCATACATGCCCAATTTTTTTTTTTTCTACTACATGCTGACACGCGTCAACGTTCAACGTTCATATCAGAGTTAATACACCTGTATTCACCTCATGCCATGAATACACCTGTATTCCCCCCTCGGTCTGCTCTGATTGGCTGCCGAGAAATGTAGTTGTCCAGCCGTGAGCGGTGCATTCTGGTCTTGCATGTGTCATGGGAAGGTGAGACAAACCTGAACCGCTTGTTTCCCACGTCGACACCCAAAAGTCTGCACACGAGCATAAAGTGATGAATTGTCTTTTTGATTGATTGATTTGATCTCTTCACTACCCGGCTTGTATCTGTTTAACTCAGAAAGCGGCGCTTCTGTAGGGATTGACCACGCCGATAAACACCTCTAAGTCCCAAAAGGTAACGACGGTTCTCTTGTGTTCCTCAGACCCAGTGGACGTGTTGCGGGCTCTGCAGGTTCCCTCTCTCCCCGAGGGAGTGAAGAAGGTCCCCGGCTTCTGCACCTCCCGGCGCTCCGGCAGCCCCGACCACGCCTACCGCATCACCAAGAAGGCCCAGATCTCCGCCCCCACCAAGCAGCTCTTCTCGGGTAGGCCTCGGGCGGACACCATCACTACGGGAAAATAGGAAGATCTTGGTTTCATGTTTGCTGTGCTTAAAGCCGTCCACCGTCTTTATGGCATTTTCATCATGTCTGAGGGTTTAAGCTCCAGACAGGAGCACTATAATTACATTTCTAACTATTTTAATGTAAAGACACTGATATTCATTTTGTCTTCATATATCTTATATTAATGCTTAAAGGTAAATATAGAAGTTGTGAATTTTAGTCTTATTTTTTTTTTTAAGCTACGTTGCTTAACATAAATAAGATCATTTTGATGCATCTACATAGTCTCACATGCATCAATGCCACTGGTGCTTAAGGAGGGTTTATATTTAAGATATTCCGGGAGACGGAACCTACATTCATAATTGTAGGGATGTATTTTCAACAGAGATCTCTGGATATAAAGTATAATTATGTGTTGCAGTGTAACTGTGGCGGAGAGCCATGACAAATTAACTTGAGAATACTGTCTGGCACCCTGGAGTAAGGAGCGAAAAAGAGAAAGTGGCACTTACAGTGTGGTTGTTTAGAAACACTCAAAAGTCAAAGCTCTTTTTGCACTTATTTATCTACCTTCTCCAGCTGTTCCCACCTTGTGTCCTGATCCTCTCTGCCAGCTTCACACGGGACGAATTCCTCCTATCAGAAGCCTTTTTGTTTTCCTTCCCGTTCCTCCCTTTTCACCTCCCTCTCCAGCTTCCCTTTGGCTCTTATGTCAGTTACTGCCTCCTTCTCCTTGCTTTTGTTTCCTGTCCTAAAATACCCAAACGCCAGTCTTGCAACAAGCCATATTGATCAAGTGATCTCCCCCTTTGCTTCCATCATTATCTTCTCCCAATCCGCCCATTCCTCCCGTCCCTCATCTGCAGGTCGATTCCCAGAGAACTTCTCCATCATGGCTCTGGTTAAGGCCCAGGCTGGTCTCCAGGCCTTCCTCCTCTCCATCTACAGCGAGCAGGGTATCCAGCAGCTGGGCGTTGAAATGGGACGCTCCCCTGTCTTCCTGTATGAGGACCAAAACGGAAAGCCGTCCCCCGAGGACTACCCGCTGTTCAGAGGCGTCAACCTGGCTGATGGCAAGTCAGTAACCAGCAGCAACCAGCTTGTGACTGGTTGAGACGACTCGTTTTGGGGCCGTGTGGGTGTGAGTGGTTGGGGGTGGTGTGAGAGTGTTGGTTGGGATGTAAATGGGAAACATCAAAAAGGTGTGATGTCCTATAAATCATGCCTGTAGTCGCAGTACACATTTATTCGCGTTGCGTGCCCCACCCCTCCAGTCTCTAGGTGGCATCGCATCGCCTTCTCTGTTTCAAAGAAAAATGTGACTCCTGCTGGTGGACTGCAAGAAGAAAATGACCCAAGCGCTGCCCCGCGGCAACAACGCAGAGGTCGACACCAATGGCATCACGGTGTTCGGCGCCCGTCTGCTCGATGAGGAAGTTTTCCAGGTGAGAACCTGTTTAAGCACAATAGGCAAAGCATATCTAGTTATTGGTGGGTGCCTAAAGAAAGTCAGCGAGAAGATGGTCTATTTCTATACGGTTCTTCTAAATCTCTGGACCTCCGGGTCAGCTTCAGACCAAATTAGACCAAATCATGCAGGTTGAAACTCCTTCAGCTCAGAGTCCAGCAGGTCCCCCAGCAGTCTAGTCCACCGTGGACAGAACAGCGCCTCCTCCTCCTCCTCCTCCTCCTCCAGGAGCAGAGCTTCTCCTCTCTGGGAGCCGACACCGGCACCACGCTGCTGGTGACCCGGGACATAGTGCTGGACCCACTGGTGGGAAGGGAGGCCCAGGAGAAGCAGAACCAAGACTGAGAGGGTTGGACTGTCAGACCCTGCTGCAGTAAAACGAGAGGTTTTCTAAAGGGAGTCTGGTTGCACGCCCTCTATCCGCTGTGGGGCGGAACCAGCGAGTAGTGGGCAATTGTAAACGTGAGAAAAATGCTCGGTGACGCTTGGGAAATCAAATCATCAAATCCAAGTGACAAAAAGTTATATATTCTTTGTGTGGTGCGGCCCAGTAGCAAATTGTATACAGACCGGTACGCGGCCTGGTATTTGGGGACCACTTCCCTATGTAACTCAAATCAAATTGCAAATTGATTTGATGGACGGGTGTCGTGAAATTAGTGCACTGGAATTGGTTGGTACGGTGTTACGTGAGCAAACGTCATTTTGTCAACAGTAAGATAAAGCTGTACAGCTTAGTGTTCATATGCCTGTTTCCTTCCGTAGGGAGACATCCAGCAGCTGCTGGTCGCCTCCAACCCCCAGGCTGCCTACGACTTCTGTGAACACTACAGCCCCGACTGTGACTCCGCGCTGCCCAGGATGCAGGCTCAGGACCCCGACACATACGTGAGTAGCCCCACAAATCCCCCACAGACGTGTGAACCACATTTAGTCCTCCCCCAGATATGAAGCTTTAATCAAACCATTTACCTTTTATTCACCCATCATTTTGAAAACCTGCGTCATAACTTCACACAGATTCTATTTTTCTCAGAACACTGAGTAGCATCTCCTAGAGAGCAATAACCTCAGTCGGTCAGCACCGTCAGGCTCATGTATAGCTCCAATACAGGAGGCCCAAACAGAATCTGTGGACTTTTCTTTTTCTAAATGATAGTCCTGTGTGTGCTGCATCGAAGGCGTTTAGAAGATTTGACATGGAGAGATTTGAGAGATCTCAGTGGTTCTCCAAATGATCTGACGGAGGGCACCATCATTTTACAACCACTCCATCCAGACTGTAAATGAATCGCACGTGCCCAGCCACGACCCACTGCAAACGCATCCCACCGGTTCAGAATTACTGCCTTCATAGATCCTTCCGGTTCAGTTGATTCAGTTAGGAATATTCCTACATGAAAGATACTCATCCTGTGAACTGGGAGTACGTCGCATTGATCAACATTTAAGGGATAATCAGACCGTAAAAATCTGAGTTGTGTGAGGAAAAAAACAAAGGTTACACCCAATGCACCAGTCCTCCAGAAAACAGAGAAAAGTCCTCAGGTAACCGTTTGGGTCGACCTGATAACGTCATCAAGTGCTGCTTGCCCTTCCTGTCTTCCTCCCGCATCCCCTTCATCAGCCACACTTTGTATCCATCCACTTTCCTCCTCACCTGCTCGGTCTGTGTGTCCCTGAGGCAGCTAAAGGAAAAGCAGAGACCTTTACATAAGTACACCTCTCAAAGGGGCCACATGTCCATCCTTTCACACACTCTGCATTGTAATCTTTCATACTGGTTTCAGCAGTGTTTAGTTGTCCCTTTGTTTCCTGCTGTACTGCAATGGAACACAGAAAGGTAGGGGAAAGAGGAAGATACAAGCTGACCTGTCCCTGTTCCCCCCCCATGTATGAAAGAAAGAGAAATTGTCCAGTACATAACAAAGCTAATTAAGCTCAATTCTGATTGGTTTTCTTGTTAAAATGAAAGCTTTTGGCATGAAGATGGCTTACTGAGACTGGTCGGGCACATTACATACATTATAAGCTTCGCCTCCCTTCATCTCTCACATATATACTGATATTTGGGAGCTGAGCGTCCCCTGACACCACTCATTCTCATCCATCCAAAGTACATGACCTTTGATTAACAGGCCTGCATGGCGGATCAGTCAGTACGTAGTCGTATCGTCCCTGTACGGAGCTCCGCGACCTAAACCCTGTCCTGTGATGCTGTTAAAATGACTGCTTTCTGAATTAATAAAATTTGTGTGATTTTATTCTTTGGCTTTCCCCATTGCTCTTATTTATTTGATTTGTTTTCTTATTCATCAAAGGTGTATTTTGAATATCAACACCTTCAAGCAGCAGCACAGACGCCTTCTGATGAATGGAGAAAACAAATCATAGCACAGCATTTTACTATTATCTCCTTTCACTGTTTTTATTTTCTGCTGCTTCACCCCAGCCCCCCCCCCAGCCCCCCCCTTTCCTCTTTACCTTCCTTTAACCGTAACCATAATCTTACTCGCCTCCACTTGGAGATCCACCCTCCCCCTCTTCATGCATTCCTCTCCTTGCTGTCGTGTCCCCTCTGCCGAGCCGTCCATCCTTCCCATCTTTCAGTCCTTCCCCGTCTCTCTCAGTACTTTGATGAGGAGCAGGATGACCATGAATTCCCCTCTTATTAAACAACAGTCCATCTGCGGCCCCTAGTCAACAGGTGAAGAGGGAGCACGAGAGAGGGAAGACAACCCCAATGGGGGTTTTGAGGAAGGAAGGAGAATGAGAGACACATTTATAATATAGATTTAGCTTGTTCAGTGTCAATTAAACTTGCATCATGAATTCCAATATTTGTTTGACATTCCACGTGACTCTCTCATCCCTCATCGTTCCGTACCTACTTTTTTAAACTCTCACACCTCGAGTCCACCTTCTCCGTCACACAGGATTACCGTCACTCCTCATGATTTTTTTTTCTCCTTGTGTCATTTAGCATGTTGTCATATGTGTATGTGTGTTCAGATGTGGTCAAATCGGGGCACTGGGGTGTGTGTAAGTGCAGATGTGTTGATGCACACACATACATTCCTTTTTAATTTGATCACAGAACTATCCATCTCTGACACAGAGGGGAACAAAAGAAACCTAACATGGTGATATTTGTCAGTCATGTGATCCACCTTTTTGCCATGTGTAAAGCTAGCCTAAAGCTAACTTCTGACCAAATGACTCTGCGTCACCAAGCTTACTCTAAACCAGCTGATGGAGACGTCCATAATTTGCAGGATTCGGAAATTTGTTTAGAATTAGCTTAGTGATTGAATGGAAACACACCATTGTCTTTTGTGATAGACTCCATCCATCTTTTTCACATATGCAATAACCTGCAGTATTATTTGACCAGGGCATGGGTCTGTTGTGGTGTTCCTTGCATGGTTTCTTTATTGTTGTGCATGCTTGTACTTCGGGGCATCAGTTTCCTCTTGTCCCAGTTAACATGGGGGATATCAATGCACATGTCTTTGTCTTGTTATATGCATTCATGGTTCTACATCTTATACATTACATATATAGTGCTGGTCTGTTTTTCCTTCACACTGTATTACCTGGATGACATTTTTGTTTGTTTCTTCATAATGGTAATTTGCATGTAATTTTATTATAGCAGCATGAGAAGTGGAGAATTGTGTACTGTTGTTTTCATTTTGTGTTTTTATGTGACTAAAGTCTATTCGCATGCTCGCCTGGCATCCATGCTCCTTCCCTCGTTTGACTAACAGCAGCAACGTTTTCTCTAATTGGACTGCTCAGTGCATTATAATCTGCCTGTGTGTGCGTGTCCGTGTGTGTGTGTGTGCGTTCAGCATCAGCTTCACCTGACCATCACACCCTCAGTGCCGGAGTTCAGATCATTTTAGCGCAGAAATACTGCTTTGTCATTTAGTATTGGGAATGGCATTACTGGAGAGATCAGCAAACCTATTTTCAATTCATTTGTCTAGTACTGGTGTCATTTGTATTTTTGCTTACCATTTTAAAACGTTATTTATTTATTACTCCTCTGCTGTATCCAGTAATGCCTGTACAGTCTCAGTAAATCATCCAAGCCTTGGCCATCTCTATGTCATTGTTTCTCAAAACATCCACTCTTGTCTTTCTCTCTCCTCCTGTCCATCCCTTGTTTGTGCTTTTCACCCCACTCCCGACCCTTCCATGTATCTTTGTCTTCCTCCTCTCTCTCTTTGCCAATATGCACCTTTACATACTAAACACCATATCAACCAAACATTTATTGTGGATATTAGAAGAAGGCCCCCACCAAATCCCCGCCTGTCAAACCAAAACCCACCCCAGCTAAGCCGGCAAAGACTGGACCAAACAAGCCCGTAGTTAAGACACCCTTTCCCACCAGAGCTCCCAAGTCTTCCTCAGCAAAGCCAGCTAGAGCAAAGCCAACTGCAGTAGAGATCCTCTTTTCTAAGATCAAACCAACATCAGCAGCTAAATCTAAGCCCATAGCTCCCCCAGCTAAGAACGGTAATGGTAAACCAGCTGCAGAGAAGAAAGCAAATGGTGCAGCTAAAGCCAACGGCAATGGAAAGGCAACAGTTACAAAAACAAATGGCAACGGCAAAGCTACAGCTGATGCTAAGTCCACAGCTCAGGCCAAAGTGAATGGAAATGGAAAAGCTTTAGCTGATAAGAAAGTCAATGGTAACGGAAATGGAAAATCCTCAGCAGAAAAGAAAGCCAATGGAAATGGAAAAGGCACTGTTGTGTCTAAGACTAGTGCAAACGGCAAAGCTTCAGCAGAGAAAAAGGCTAATGGGAATGGCAAAACTACCATTGAGGTTAAAGTCAAAGTTAACGGCAAAACTGATAATAAACTCAGCGGTGAGGCTAAGGCTAATGGCAAAGGAATGACTGTGGTAGAAAAGAAAGCCGTTAATAATGGTGCAAAAATTGAAACCACTACAACAGCAAAGACTGAGAGCGTTGTAAAAGTAGAAAATATAGAAAATACTGTGGTCAGGGCAGCTAAAGTAGCTACCAAAGTAGAAGCATCAAAGGCACCAAAACCCACAAAAGCATCTAAAGCTGAACCAACAAAAACGGCAAAGCCCGTGGCCACCAAAGCTCCCGGATTAAAAGTCAAAGAGGTCACCAAAGTTAAAACTGTGGTCACCAAAGTCCCTCTGGTCAAATCATCGCTGAGCAAAGTTGTGAAAAATGTGATTGAAAAGGTTTCCATCCTGAAGAAAGAAGCTCCAAAACCCGCCCCTGTCCGGCCCACTCCACCCAGACCCACCAAATCCAAGTTACCGGGGGACCTTAATGTCAAATCCCTGCACAAACCATTCCCGCCCTTTGGAAAGGCCGCGCTGAGTGGAACCACAGTCACAGAGAGGAAAACCAACCGTTATCAACAGGTACAAAAAGAAGGCCCGTATTTGGCTCAGTGTCCCATCTGATCAGGCCAGTTCTTTCCACCATCCAGGGGCTGCAGCAAAAAAATGTTCATGTTTTGAATTCTTGCCATTATTAGGGGTCTTCAATATGTTGCAGAGAGTGCAGATTTTGACGTAAATCCTTGATGGTGGACGATCTGGTCTTCAGATGGAAGCTGGTTGATACCCAGCTGGACGTCTTCTCCTTTGTTTGAATATCATATGATCTTTACGATCACCCCAACTTCTCCATATGATATGATACAGCGGTGCACATGGAAGCATGGCTAATTGTACAGCTTCATTGTTCTATACTTTATATTCCTACCTTCAAGCTGAAACTGGATCTCAGAACCTGAAAACACTCTACTCCGCCTCTTTCCTTTCGGGGAAAACCTTTAACGTGCCGGTGTGATGAATGAGCATGGATTTCTATGGCACAAAAACGTAACCTTAGAAAATAAAATACTACCCCATTGAATACACAAAAAACACAACCAAACTATTCCGTCACTCTGTCATTCTCTCTCTTTGGACCTGTATTTTCTCTCTGACACTTCTCTCGCTGTCTTTGGCCATTTTGTATCAAATATGAATAATGCAGCCTCACAGAAACTTTGAAGCAAACATCAAATGTGTGCGAGCATTGGAAGTTAAACTTCATTCATGTGTAGTGTACTACGAAGCTGATGTGATTCAAGGTAGAAGGTCATTGAGAGGTTCATGATCATTTAACTCAATTAGGTTCTGTGAGGCTGTTAATTGGGGTTGTCTCTCTGTTTTCTGGTCTTGGGTGAAACTACACATCCCGGAGCATCGAGTTACGATGTTTTCATCTGAAGGGATGGATAGAGGCTCTCAGTCCTACTTCCAATAAGAGCAGACTTCCCCCTTTCATGAATTTTGAGTTGAAAAAGCAAAGAATGTTCAGGAAACAAGAAAAGAAATCTCAGCAGAAGTCTCGATGGCTCCCTAAATCTTGCTTACAGCAAAATTTATAGTTATTGAGATACTGAAACTACCTGAAATTTCTTTTGTAAAATGGATCTTTTCAAGTTTAAAGATGTGAGCTGCCAGTAAGATTATTCTTGGCCTCTGGCAACCACAATCTTATGAAGGGATCCATTTTTTTTAAACTCTTCATCACTTACAAGCAGACTTTGACCTAACCACGCTCTTCAATTCAAATCTGCTTACTTCTTCCCTGCTACCCAATTCCCGTCAACTTGACCAATCAGGATGTAGATACTGAATATTCCGAGGCTGGCCACACCCCTACAGAGACTGATTATTTCTATGAGGAGACGGTGCCAGAGGGTGAGGTGATTGGACAACAAGAGATCCCTGCACAGGTAAAAAAGAGAATTATACACCGCTCAGTGACACAGAAACCTTAAACAGATATTTTCACTTAATCTGCACATTAAAACATAAAAGACTTAGATTTACCAACTAGCACACTGACAGAAATGAGAATAAATCATCACCAGGGAAGAGGACAGTGTAACACCTGCGTGGTGGTGAGCCCAGTCTTTATTAACTAGTAGTAGTAGTTACAGCTCTGTGTCTCTACACTTTTCTAACCTCACATCAATGGCTTGTTGGCATCGATGCCACGTGACAAGACGTAACAGAAGAGCTTTTTCAAAGAGAATGCACCACATTCATCTGCTTGTATCGTCAAGCATTTTTACGTGGCTCCGTTTTTCTCTCTTCTCACCTGAAGATCCTTCATTGATCGAGTCGTGATCTTGACATGAGAACAAAAATCGAGTAAAAAATGGATCCGTGTAGGAATACTTGATTTGCCGTTCAGATGGAGATGAATATAATGCATTCTGGTTTGAGATAAAAAATGTAACTGAACTAAAGATTACAGTAATCATACAATTTGAGAATGAGTTTCTCACATTACTGATCTGTTTCTCATAGTTCACCTTTTTTGGCAAAATCCATGTTGTCGTCACTAACATTTTATCCGTATTAGCTGACTTTTATTTGGTATATCTTTGGGACGCATGTACATGTTATTGTACTAGTTATCATTAATTGTTTAGATTATTCCTTTGTTTTTCCATGAGAACAGTACAGCGTTTTCCCACTGGATTCACATTTGTTTTTCAAACACCCACGGTAAGTGAAATAGAAAAGAACCTAGTGTGGCCTTTGCATAGTGTAGCACATAGCGCAGTGTGTTTTCACAAAGTGCCTCATATCAGTTCTGTGTGCTCAGGGACCAAAGACCAAAAAAAAATGTATTTTATAAACGTTTACAATTACAGATACTATATTCCGGCAGATGTGGAGAAATCATTCGCATACAGGTCACCACACACGAGCTAATGAGGATATGCTTTGGTGGAAACACACGTTATTAAGATGATTAACAGGAGAATTAAAGTCACAGGAAAACTTGCTAATTCGTAAATGACCTGAATGAATCAGCAGCTGCATGAAGGACACCCTGGTCTGCCAGATGTCTTTTTGTTTTCTGTCCTTATGTTACTGTTTATTTTTACAAGGTAAGACTCACTTCTTTCTATATATGCCCCCCTCTCCTCCACTCCCCATCCCTGTATTTCTCTTTTCCTTACTAACATTTTCTTATCATACACACCTCTCCCTCTTCCTTCCTTCTTCCTATTGCATCCCTTTTCTCCTTTCCTGGATTCACCCTCTCGTGCCCATCGATCTGCGGCTCTGATAAACCCAACCAGCCCCAGGTGGAGACAATGTTGGTGGGCGAGGAGGTAGATGCCACCAAGGCAGGCGGTGCGGGCGAGGAGGCCTTCACTGAGGAGTATGTGACTGGGGACGTGGGCCTTAAGGAATACGACTATTCCTACAGGGACTACAGTGAACCAATGCCAGAGAGCCGAGGGGGCGATGCCAACATGGGCCCCGCCCTGTCCGCTGTGACAGACGAGGGAGGCGTAAGTCTTTTTGCATCAGAAGCAAAAAACATAAAAGAAAACCGGTTTCAACCAGCCTGTGAATCCTTGGTTGAAGTGTATTCAATGTCCTCCAAACTGACTTGTTTGAGTTTGCCATTACGTAGACACGACACATTGCTTGTGTACTGTTTTTCCCTTTGGGAACCTCTTACCCGTGGGGGCGAATCGGAACCCAGGTGCCTGTAAAAGCTTTACCTGAACACCTGGAATAGAAGTTGGAATGGACCTTCGTTCTACCTTTGTATTCATTTTATAGTAGTGGTAGTTAATGTCTGTTTCAGTTTTCCACCAAAAGTGTGATGTCAGTAAATTCAAAATGGCCTCTATGCAAATAAGATGTATCCCTAGAATCCATAACACGGGAGGCAAGCTCAATCAGTCACTGAGACACCTGTAATTGAATGCATTTCCAATACTTTAAGGACCAAGACGTAGTCCACACATCGGTGGTTGAAATGGGTTTATTTTATACGGTGTATAGTGAGAAACTCAGGAACCCAGGAGGAATAGCTGTTACCACGGTAGAAGCTATCAGGGATCTGAATGAGCATAAACAATCATTTGAACCATCACATACGCAGCATAAAGAGGCATTTGGATGGCTGCCTCCTCTTGAATGCCGTTTATTGCTGTGTATTGCTTCATTTAGTGCTGCTTAGCCCTGACGATTCTCTGTAAGTAGAAGTAACGGACCCACAGTGTGCAGAACCACTGACTCATCGGTATTTGGACGAAAGCTAATGCCTTAATCACAAGCAAATCAGGTTTTTATTTCATTCGATTTTCTACAGTCTTTGACATAATCTGCGTGTCTTCATGCCAGACCTGCATTCTATGGGTGTGTTTGTCCTTTTGCTTTCTCTATACTGACTATGCTGCGTTGTTGGCTACATGTGTGTTTTCCTCAGGCCGTGGTCAGAGGCCAGAAGGGAGACAAAGGAGACCCTGCTGTTTTGGAGCCTGTGAGTTACCAGTTGTCTCTAAGCAGCGTTACCACAGCAGATGCTTGATGTGACTTGTTTGATCGGTGACAGAATGGAAAAGCTTCCCCAAGTGTTGGAACCAGTGACCTTTCAGTTTCACGCTCGCTTGCCTGTTATCTTTAGATGTGTATATGATAACTACTTTGGGAGGGAGCCAGTTTACATTTCAGTGACTCACAAGCCGTTCAACTTTGACAATGTGCAGTTAGAATGGCAAAGGACCATCCTAAGAGTCAATGCAAATTAAATAAAATCAATTATTATACCTACAATGCAGCAGTTGGAAAGGGACGGATTTATCCAGTAGGATGCAAATTATGTTTTTTCTGCTCAGAACATTGTACCAGTAAAGGTTCATTATAAAGAGATAAAAATATTGAGTGTGAGAAAAGAGAACAGTGTTTTGTTCACTGGTTGTTTTTGTCCTCCTGCTAACGTTTGTAACTTCATTGTGACTCCTGCAGGGTATGCTGATTGACGGACCTCCAGGCCCTGAGGGACCTGCTGTAAGTAAATGGCAATTGTCCCTATTTTAACATAAAATACATTTGACAGAAATCTAAATATAATACTTAAGTAACCTTTGCAACTTATTTTAGGGTCCTACTGGCCCCTCTGGCTCCTCTGGACCTCCTGGCTCTGCTGGTGACCCTGGCGAGAGGGTGAGTGTTTCACTTTTTATGAATAACTTCCGATTGGTGCCGAATCTATTGACGGACAGTAGGCGATAGACGAGATGTAAGAGATTTCACTTCTTCCTGTCCATCCCACAGGGCGTTCCTGGTAGGGCTGGTCTGCCCGGAGCGGATGGAATCCCTGGACCTCCTGGAACCTCAGTCATGCTGCCTGTGAGTCAGCACTAACTTTTCATCCTTTATCAGGAAAGGATTTTGTCCGATTGATGTTAAGATAAAATTCAATATTCTGTGTAGTTTAATATGTTCAGTAAAAAAGGGTCCTTTCATTTGCATGAATGAATCCCAAAACCAGGAAATGCGGTTGAGCAGTAGCGCAGGGTCATCCTTTAACCACAGGGTTGGTGGTTTAATCCCCTGCTCTGCTAGTCTATGTCAATGTGTCCTTGGGCAAGACACTTAAGCTCAGATTGCTTCCGTAGCTGTGATTATGTGTGACTGTTGATATGAATATATATATATATATATATATATATATATATATATATATATATATATATATATATTGAATGTTAGATAGTTGTGATGCCAGGAGGCACCTTACATAGCAGCACGTGTCATCAGTCTACAAATGGATGTGAAAGTGTTAAAAGAGCTTTCAGGGGTTGGAAGACTAGAAAGGAACGCCATCCAAATACAGTCCGTTCACCATTTTACCTTTCCCTTGACTGGAAGTCAATGACTTTTTTACGTGGGTTTTTGTTAGATGCCTTAACTCTTGATTTTTTTAACTTTTGCGTGTTTTAAAAAAGGCGGCTCCTTACTAGTTATTTTCGTTTGTGAAGATTACCTTTCTGAACACAACGTGCAAGTATCAAAAATATTTTGCTACAGACATTATTTTGTCCATTGCATCCAAAATGCACTGAAATAATTTCAGTGGCTCTTTGTCGAAGGGAAAACATACAACGCTAACTCCCTGCAGAACTCTGGCTTGATGTGTTTTTATTTTTAATATTTGGGCATAGCCAAATCAGAATCCAAGTATATCGCCGTGATGAGTCAAGAACAATCAATAGAATTACCATCATGTTTTTATTTGTTTGTCCTTCTCATTTATTACTCTGGAACAATTGATTCTTTAATTTCTCCAACAGTGGCGTCCCACCATTCATCAGGCAAAGCATCCACTCAAACATTGTTTTCCTTTCTTCTTCTGCAGTTCCGTTTCGGTCAGAGTGGAGGAGATAAGGGTCCTTCCGTTTCTGCACAGGAAGCTCAGGCAGCAGCCATCTTGTCTCAGGCGAGGGTCAGTCTTCCCTTTTCCTTCACATTTCCACCATGTGGCTCTTTTGCCGCAACAATAAGAACGTGAGACTTTGCTATTTATGAAAATAAATGACATATACTTTTAGTTCTATAACACAAAACCAATTATAATACAAAACAGTATAAATTGTCCTAAAACAACAGAGAAATCCTGTAAGATATAGATAAAACTAATTAATTCCTTACTTGATAACGACTTTCTGTTTTCAGATTTTAGACATTTAGCATCCAGGGAGATTTATAATGAGTGTCCAAGGAGATTTTTCTTTTAGTCATAATCCTTACAAGCAGCCATGTCCCTCAGTGATCATTGATGGTGAGATGTTTGTCTGCAGATGGCTCTGAAAGGACCTCCTGGGGCGATGGGATTCACTGGCCGCCCCGGACCCCTGGTAGGTTTATTTCATTTGAACCCTCACCTGTTCATATCAAGAGTTTGATGTTGTCATTGCTAATCTTCCATTTCCCAATCCAGCTGACCTGACAATACAAAAAAATGTTTTACCTACCTTTTTTTATACGCTTTTTTGTTAAGTCTCGTAAACTGCAGAAAAAATGCCTTGATTATTGTCTTTCTAATTGTTTAGGGGTGAATATGAAGTATGATTATTGTGTATTTTTTCAGGGAAATCCAGGTGGTAATGGTTTGAAGGGAGAGAGTGGTGACCCCGGTCCTCAGGTAAAAAACACAGAATTAACCTCTGACCTCACAAATAACATATTCAAATAATTTCATTCATTTTCAAATCATGTAATTAGTCCTCACTTACAGTCATCGTGTATGGGATTATTGATTGTATAGTGGAAGAATACTCAGCTCACATCTATGACAAAAATGTATCACAGACATGATTCCTTGCTCATCTTTCAGGGTTCCAGGGGACCTCAGGGCACGATGGGACCTCCAGGCAAATCAGGAAGAAGAGTGAGTGAAAACTACATTTCTTTTTTGTTGAAAAGAAATGTAGTTTTGGCCAAGAATGCAGCGCTGAAAACAAAACATGGGTATTTGGCAAGTGGGACGTCTGTGACCCACAAATAGAAAGCCTTCTTAAACACATTCCTCCTCTGCTTGTCTCCCCACAGGGCCGGGCTGGTGCTGATGGTGCCAGGGGAATGCCAGGAGAGTCTGGAACTAAGGTAGTAACCTCTCTCTGGGGCCATTCCTCCTTTCAACATGAACTCTGTTGGCTTCTGTTTCTCTCCTTTTTGGAGCTGAGCTCGTCACATGGCTGATAGTCCTTGAACAGATCCCTTTTACTTTTAAATGCAAATGTATAGACAATAACTGTGACTCGGCCACAACATTAAACCTCTACTTACATTGTGAAAGCAGAAATATACGACCTGGTATGGTAGCTCGTTCTCGGGGAAAAATTGTCCATATCAGCAGCTCAGGCTTCCTCTGGTCCCAAACTGCACAAAGCTATGTGCATAACTAACATTCACACTCAACTCCACATGGGCTGCATTCCTTCATCGCAGTGATGACACCTTCCATGTCTGTTTGTCCCCCTCAGGGTGACCGTGGTTTTGACGGACTTCCAGGTTTGCCCGGCGACAAAGGACACAGGGTGAGTCTGAAATAGCAATCAACACCGTATAAACTTTTTTATGTACGGAGTACGGAGTAGATGATTTAATCCTTCACACTTTCACTCCTCAGGGTGACTCAGGCCCATTAGGACCCCCAGGAGCTCAAGGGGAGGACGGAGAAAGGGTACAAAGATATGACAAAAGAATTTGAAATAGTTCCAGACAATACTCAGAACATCTTGTCGTTGTGTCACTCCATAACTGTTCACAATCAGCAACTTTCCATACTCAGTATGTGGTTTCCTATGTATGTGTTTCCAGGGAGATGATGGAGATGTTGGACCAAGGGGTCTCCAAGGTGAACCAGTGAGTGTTTCCATGACAGTACAATTGGATTTGAAATCTCTCCCTCATTTGTATGCGTCTGTTATAAACAGCATCTCAAAACTGAGCCTGTGTATCTATTTGAAGCCCTACTGTTACGAAGGTAGGGTGGAGTTAGTGTGATAAGACAGGACGTAGTCGGGGTTCTTCACTGTCGCTATGAGATGGAAAGCTAGAGGACACACGTGCCCACATGATGACCACGTGCTCTCTGAAATGTAATAATTGGGATTGCATAAAAACGAAGGTCTGGATGTAGACTCCTTTCAGCTTCACTGATAACATCAAGACTATGAATCAGCAAGAATGAACAAACAACAAATCATATATGCTATTCATATGATTTGTTGTTCAATTTATTCAACAATGAATTCTGTTTATTCATTCGGACATTACAAATGTTTCAAAGTAATACAATGAATTACTTTCATTGAAAGACAGTGGTCATTTAATTGGGTGCACTTGATAAATCTAATGCAAGAAAAAGTGTAAATTTAATGATATTAGAGATATGTATAATAGAGTCATAATTAAAGGTGCTTTTACACTGGACTTCTTTCCCTCTAATCAAAAGAATACATTAGAAGGATCTTATACCTTATGATCAAGTGAAAATTATTCCTAGTATCAAAGACACACGTTTGATATTGTTATATTGAGGCTATACATTTTCAAAGGTTGTTACTCCAGACTTTTTAATCCTTTGCACTTATTAATTTACATTACAATATTACATAATGTAATATAATTTATTTAGCAAGGCTGTGAGAAATTGATTATATTTATATTGGTATGAAGGTGTAAAAAAGCCGCCATTGGATCAAGTTCATATATATATTTGGTTGTTCAAATATCTGTTAATTATCAACAAACGGTAACAATTACTGCCCAATAGTAGTACTCCATATTCATCTGTTGCTTTGTCCTGATAGAAATGTTGCTAATGTAGCAGACGTTGAACTTTGACCTCCCATTAATACAAACCTACATTATGATTTATTCTAGAATCCATCGGTTAGGCTGTTCATATCCGTGAGTGCTGACAGATCTTGGTGTGTGTGTGTTTGATTCTAGGGACCACGCGGTTTGCTCGGACCCAAAGGTCCTCCAGGAATCTCTGGACCTCCTGTGAGTAAAAACTATTTCAGAGTGCATTGTGCTGCTCTTCTGTTAGCTGTATGGTTTGATCCCGCTGAGCTCCCACAGCTCCTCCTGAAACAACGCCCTGTGACCTGATATAAAGCAATCTAAAATGTAACGTGTAATGGCCTCACACTCACCTCCGAACAACACCAAGACACCTCAGGTCCCCCAGGATGTCGGCAGCCAAGTGTCCGTTTGACACTTATTTGTTGATTTCAGTTGTTTTTTGTACGCCGGTCGAGGTCTGCCCTTAAAGAGCACCTCACAGATTTAGCATTGCACTAAGATGTGTGAATCACGAGCTGTATAGTTCTGGTAACCACACTTCTACATAAGTCCACACCTTCCGAGATTTTCATTTTCAAAGTTCTTCATCTCCCAAAGTAGCAGCAAAGTGCTTGAGGCTTTTCCCTCGTAGTTATTATTGGAAGTAAATGCTGTGATCATCCTCTTTACTCCTCAGGGTGTACGAGGGAATGACGGGCCCCACGGTCCCAAAGGAAACTTGGTCAGTGTCACTATCTTCTCAACCACGTTATCCTGCAGCGTCATACTTAAGAATCAATATCACCATGTTATCTCCCTTCTGTCCCTCAGGGTCCCCAAGGAGAGCCAGGACCTCCAGGTCAGCAGGGAACTCCTGGAACTCAGGTGCGACAGAAGATAACAGACTATATATTGTGACATATACCTCCTTTAAGTAATTGTGTGCTAAAGAGCACAGAAGGAGGTAACAAAACTAAAATGAAACAGTAATGTTGACATTGTGTATTTATCCATTTATTTATTACCTTTGCAGGGTATGTCAGGACCTCAGGGAGCCCTTGGACCCCCGGGAGAGAAAGTAAGAGAACAAACCGGTTTCGGCAGATTTGTATGCAGTGCATTCTGCATCCTCAAGTCTTTTTATTTGTTATAATAGTGGAGTGGCACATAATGCAGTGATTGTACGATAGTTGGGGGTAGACTTGCAGTTTAAGAGCAAAGGGAGACGCAGAGACAGATTCTTAAAAGATCTGAGATAGTTGTATTGTTTCTGATGTTTATTTATACTAGCGTACTCAGGTTGTCACAATATTACATTTGCACCAAGGTTATCGCGGTCCAAGTAATGCACTGTAACTACATTGTAAAAAGGTCAATAGAAAATAACAAATATTAATAATAACCGTCAGTCAAATTCTTTTGAATTCTGTTTTGGGGAAAATGTTGAGGGAAGTTAGGAGAGAGTCTGTTACCGTAACTATACTTACCTTATACTTACCTTAGATTAGATGTCTCATGCCATGCACAGTACATCATACATCATACAGGATTTTCAGAACCTGTTCCACCCAAACATCCCCTGGTGGGACGCTGTGACCGTCGACTATGAGGCACTCATCCCTCATCAAAAAACAATAATATAATAATGCGTCACACCGTTTGAAACATTAGAGTCTTGGGTGCAACGTCCACTGTTCCGTTTGAAAATGCTCCAAACACAACTCCAACCAGCCCAAAAAGGTTTAGAAAATAAATCGAATTTGTCCAAAAACTGTGCATATGGCGGTGCATTTACACCCGTCGATCAAAGATAGAAGCTAACGAGAAACCAAGAGGGCAAACAGGAAGCTCACGCCACCATAATTACGTCACTATCCAAAACAATTCTCTCAGACAAACCTTCCCAAAGTTATGGCAAGCACCCGGGTCATGTCAATCACAAATACTCGTACTTTAGCCGTTTTCAACGTGGGGCTAATCAGATCTAACAGGCTCTGACGAATAAAGCAAGGGGTTGAACGCGCAGATCGGCCAATTACGGCCCAAATTCTAACAAGCTCTAATCTGCGCAGACTGAGTTAGAAAATCCATCATTTCACCGCATGCCGTGAGGCCTTTGCTAAAGCCTAGATTTATTCTGCTTCACTCTATCAATGTAAAACTTCCAATCAAACTGATCCCCAGAGCATGTCTTTGGACTGTGGGAATAATTGGAACAATGGGAAACAGTTAGCCTGGCAAAACAAACACCCACCTACTGACAGTGGCAGGCTGAAATAACATTGGAATAAAACATGGTTCTCTGAGTGATGGGAAGTGCCTACAAATGATCACCTGGCGCCTCATGGTTCGTTTTAGCTCAGCTTACTCGTCTTCTTGTGTTGCATGGCAGTTACCAGCCTGCCCTTTCTGGACTCTTATTAATGACCACATCTTCTCCTCCAGGGTCCCACAGGAAAACCAGGTCTGCCAGGAATGCCCGGAGCCGACGGCCCTCCTGTACGTCCGCCTCTTTCTTCCTTTCTTTGTTTTATGCATTAAAACTGAAATAAGTTTAATCCAACAACCCTGCATATCCTTCCTGAGCTCCCTGTCTTGCCTTCTCAGGGTCACCCAGGAAAGGAGGGGCCTTCTGGCACCAAAGGAAACCAGGTGGGTGTCAATCACACACTCCATCACATCAGGTGCCTTCGCTTCCATCTGACTACGTTCACCAACTCAACATGAGACTCCCAAAATGAAGCATATTACATTTATTATTATGTTAACTCGTCCTTCTTTCTTTAATCTTCTCAAGGGTCCCAATGGTCCCCAGGGTGCCATCGGTTATCCCGGCCCTCGTGGCATCAAGGTCAGTTCAGTTACTTGCAAATAAACTGAAACAACACAGCTTAAATGTCCTCAGCACATCAGTGTGTTGATTATGCAACGCTTTAATTGCAGGGAGGTCAAGGAATCCGTGGGCTGAAGGGTCACAAGGGAGAGAAGGTAAGTGATCTAATACAGTATAATACTTTCACTCACTCAAGGAAAACCCTACCTTCAATCACGATTTCTTAGTGTTCATTTTTCACACTACATTCACTTTGTCTAAAATTATCTTGAAATCAAATCAGTAACAAGTTTATACAACACCTTACTAAATATGTACTGTATGTTTTTGGTTTTCTTGCATTTCTAGGGAGAAGATGGTTTCCCTGGAATTAAGGGAGATTTTGGTGTCAAGGGAGAGCGGGTAAGACCGACTGAAGGAGTACTTGTTTGGGTTATCGATAGAATGGTTGATGAATGGATTGATGGACTCATTCCTTCTTCGCCTCATAGTTTTGCTTCGTCTCTTGCTGACAGGGTGAACTTGGAATGTCAGGGCCCAGAGGAGAAGATGGCCCCGAGGGGCCAAAGGGCCGCGTTGGACCCCCCGGTGAGATCGGACCACTTGGTCTGCTTGGAGAGAAGGTACAACCGGTTCATTAAAGTGAAACGTGACTTATCCAATAGAATTTACAGTATTTTCCACATTTGTGCATTTACACCAAAGTGTTTTCTTTTTGTTTTAGTTGCTGCAAATGCATATATATATTTTATTTGTTAATATGACTGCAGCACAACTGTACACAATATCAGCTAATTCTCATTCACTCCTCATATTCTGCCGTATATTTCTGAATTAGAGCATTTTGTCATTGCTGTGTAACAGGTTGTCAATATATAACCCTAGATTCAGACTAATTAACTAACATCGTATGATTTCAGGGTAAACTTGGTGTACCTGGGCTGCCTGGATATCCTGGAAGACAAGGACCCAAGGTGAGGGGAACACACGTGCAGCTTCAGTTGTCCTCACTGACTCGTTTACTCATCCCTGTGCTGATGCTAAGATGTTGATCTGTTTTTTTTAGGGATCTCTTGGATTCCCAGGATTCCCCGGTTCAAACGGCGAGAAGGGAACGAGGGTATGTCATCGGTTCTGATCGATCAGTGATTGGTAGATTGTTATATAGCCAGTAATGCACCATTTTTGCTTGTTATCTGTTTTCAGGGTCTTGGGGGCAAATCAGGGCCAAGAGGACAAAGAGGACCAACGGTACAATTCCACATTTATTGATTAGTTCTTTCCATCAGTTTGTAAAAGCTATTGTGCTTGGTACATTTTGAAGCCATTGGCCGGTTTATGAACTTATTTAACTGATAAGTTAGTTGAGTTACCACCTGTTGCAGACATGCAAAAGACACGTAGCAAAAAAGAGCACCATATGTAATCGGGGAGAGACAAAACCCACAAATGAGTTTCACTGATTTAGTTTTTTTACTGTTTGTACCCATCAGGGCCCCCGAGGGCAGAGAGGACCGAGGGGCTCGACTGGGAAATCTGGAGCAAAGGTTTGTCTACAAAGTGAAACCTCCAGATTGAACTGAGAAACTATGCCCACACAGGCGCAGTATGTGAAACATTATGCTGGTAATTATCAGTGTTGGGATTTAGATGAATTGACTTAATAACTTAATAATAGTCTTACAACTAGAAATTGACACAAAGCTGATTAAGTACAGTAAAGACAAGCAAAATGGCTTTTCTTTACCAGATTTCTTTATATTGTCGACTCAAAATCACCTGCCTCTCAATTGGAGATACAAAAGTAAAGACAAGTTTTAAGACGTACGGGACAATAGTTTGTGATCCTAAACCTCATGTGTTTTGTTGCCTGTTAGGGAACGTCTGGAAGCGATGGGCCTCCTGGTCCTCTTGGAGAGAGGGTGAGCGCTTCATTTACATCCCAGTAAAACTCATGTTGGACTGTGGAGCACTCTGGCAGGACTTATATTCTAATCTTTGCATTATTATTGTTAAACTCTAAATGGCCCGGTTTACAATTGTTACATGTTGTAACAATAACTTATGATGTTGTCTCACCAGGGATTGCCCGGACCTCAGGGAGCCAATGGTTTCCCTGGACCAAAAGGACCTCCTGTAAGAAAATGTGTTGATACTGGTTTTATTAATACATGATTGGTATCTCTCGGCTGTGTAAAAGAGAATTGTAGAAAGCTACATTTTTTCAACATGGTCTTTGTTCCTTATTCGGATTCCATTGATATTTTATGGTCTATTGATCCTTACAGGGGCCACCCGGAAAGGACGGGCTGCCTGGACACCCTGGGCAGAGAGGAGAAGTTGTAAGTAGAATTTTCTCACTACTCGTAATGTTGTTTTACTTCACATTATCTATTTGAATCTGGAGATTTCTCATAAATTCACCAAAGGTCAACGGTAGATAGCCCTTTATTTACATTTTTAAACACAACATTTTAGAAAACTTAGGGAATTGCAGGAATTGCCTCTGTTTGAAGTAACATGTTTAGGACTTTTACTTTTAATGGATTTGTCATGAATGAAAAACCGTTAAGTAAGACGGCAGGTCTATATATATCTGATGCAGTCAAACTGCTTCAGATATTGTCCGATCATTTATTATACTTTAGGGAACAAAGTGACATCCGTTTTAGTTTGTTTGATCACAATCAACCCCAAAGTTTACCCATCCACCGTTCTTAGATTGTTTTGCTCACTGCATGTCTCTTCTCCAGGGTTTCCAAGGCAAAACGGGTCCACCTGGACCTCCTGGAGTTGTTGGACCTCAGGTGAGTTTTTCAAATGGTGCAGACTTTGCTCTTTACTCAAACAGTAGACCACATTGTTTTCCAAAACGACACAACTGATCCGCTTCTCTTTTCTCCCAACATCTTCTTCCCCTCTGTGCACCTCTTCATCTCCATCTCCATCCTCCAGGGTCCATCAGGAGAGACCGGCCCTTTGGGCGAGCGTGGCCACCCTGGACCCCCAGGTCCACCTGGTGAGCAGGGACTTTCTGGTCCCTCTGGCAAGGAAGGCACCAAGGGAGACCCTGGACCCTCCGGAGGCCCCGGTAAAGACGGGCCCCCAGGACTGAGAGGCTTCCCTGGGGAGAGAGGACTACCTGGAACCCCTGTGAGTATGACAAGACCAACACTGCGTACAGAGCTTCATTGTGTGTATATATATTGACCACTTTGATGGCACTAAATTGAACGTTAGAGAAAGGTTTCAAGCAGAGGTTAGGAGACACATTTCAAAAACAGTGTTTAATGCTTTCTTGTCTTTTCTCTCAGGGAGGTGGAGGACTGAAGGGAAGTGAAGGACCTGCCGGACCTCCTGGATCCGCGGTACGTTTTCAAACCAAAACAGTTTTAATACAGAAATATCCAACCAGTACACCCTGTAAAGTACAATACGATATAAGTTACTTGTTGAGTTGGTCGTTACAAATCTGTATTTTCTAGCTTTTCTAGCTTTTATAATAAGCTTTATAATTCCAAAAATTTCAAAATTGGATTTGATGATGTAATTGTTTCACTTTTGTAATGATAGTACTGTAATCTGCACTGTCTTTATGACGTCGTCCCACTCTAGGGGTCTCCTGGTGAGAGGGGACAAGCCGGTACTGCTGGACCTGTTGGACCTCCTGGTAGACCAGGCCCTCAGGGGCCTCCTGGATCATCTGGAGAGAAAGGAGTTCCTGTGAGTTTTTTTGGAAATGTTTATCCAATGTACAATAACGCATTTGACTCATCATTTGAATTTAACTGTGATTTAAGTGTTGATTCTCTGCTTTGTTCTTTTTGCCTGTTAAGGGGGAAAAAGGTCCAATTGGCCCGGCCGGCCGTGATGGAGTGCAGGGTCCTGTGGGTCTGCCTGGCCCGGCGGGATCACCGGGAATAGCCGGAGAGGACGGAGACAAGGCCAGTCACTTTTTATGCAACACGTCCTTTTAAAAAATACCTCAGTTCCCTGATTGTCCAACTAGCTGGTCACATTGGGGGATGATCAATCTTTTCAGGGCTTCCATTTACATTGCCTCTTCGCATCTTTGCTGTGACGTGATGTTTCTCGCTCCATGCAGGGTGAAGTTGGAGAGCACGGCCAGAAGGGTGCCAAGGGAGGAAAAGGAGAGCATGTAAGTGCTGCTGACCTATATATCGAGTCTCAGGATCTCCCTCAGTCGGAAATGATCAGCGTGTTTCTGTCCATCATGTCACTGTTGTTTTGCTTATTGTTGGTGTGCTTGTTTTTTGTTTGTTGGTAGGGTCCTCCTGGCCCACACGGGCCAATGGGTCCTGTTGGTCAGCCTGGTCCTGCTGTGAGTACATACTCTTGCTCAACTCTTTGAAGAACAAATGAGACGGTGTACAGTGCCCCTTGGTTGCACCTGTTCCCTGATCGGGTGCTTTTGGTCCCCAATGCGTTTCTAGTTGGCCTACAAACTCAGTTCTTTATTCCAAACCAAGTAGGATATAAAATAAAGTTAAAAGACAGCTTCATATTTTTATACAAACACTACAGCGATCACTACCAAATATTGAATCACTATTGTGAGTAGAGGAGGACAATGTTTTCAGCAAACTATTTGTTATCTATTCATGGCTCATGTCTTTTCTTCTTCTGCGGGTGCAGGGTGCTGACGGAGAGCTTGGACCAAGGGGCCAGCAGGGGCCATTTGGATCCAAAGGTGACGAAGGAACCAGAGGATTCCCAGGAGCTCCAGGACCCATCGGATTACAGGTCAAATTAAAAAAAACAATGCTCATTTCAGCGGAAGTGTCACTTCATCGTTATTTTAGACATTTATACAAATATTCAGAGAAAGTTGCTACGCTTAACTTAACGTTCACCTCCGCTCTGCAGGGATTGCCGGGACCACCAGGTGAGAAGGGAGAGACAGGAGATGTTGGACCTCTGGTGAGTCTCTATATATATAAATATATGATATCTGTCATTACAGCTGGTGTGAATCCTTTCATCTCAATAAAATCTTAATTAATTAAAGGGTGAGCCTCTTTGTGTTTCCAGGGTCCTCCAGGTCCCCCAGGACCCCGTGGTCCCGCTGGACCCAGCGGTGCTGACGTGAGTGATTATACCTTTGATCTGTACTTTTGTGTGACTGTCCGTGGTTTCATGCAAGTCTCACAAACCATTACTCTGCAATAGTTGGGTTAGGGTTAGTTCAAATAATTCTGCATAATCATTCTATGCCGGTGTTTTCAAATTGTGATACAACAAGTTGTTAGTTAGGTAGTTAATGTGCCACATAATGTGATGTGGCTCTTATATATACATTTAATATTAACAAATTTGACTCAAATTATTTCAACGTTTTGTTTTACTTGTGTTTATCAGGGTCCTCAAGGTCCTCCTGGTGGTTTGGGTAATCCTGGACCTAATGGAGAGAAGGTGCGGACATACATACAATTAATTTGCTAACATCAGAGTACTTTTTCTACATGTAATTGATGGCGTCCGCAGAAATAAACACCTCCTCAAACTATAAGAACTGTTGTTTTCTCCACAGGGAGAGCCTGGTGAGGGCGGACCACCTGGAATCGTAGGGGAGCCCGGGAAGAAGGTGAGTGTCTGAGTGACCTCAGTGCACCTGACTAACCCTTTACTGACTGAGTGCATCCAGGAGTGAACAAAGAGTCCTATGCTCATGTTGGCAGGGTCCTCGAGGAGAGCGCGGAGAGAAGGGAGAAGCCGGACAACCTGGAACTGCTGGAGCTGCTGGAGGACGAGGAGGGCCTGGAGATGATGGACCCAAAGGAAACCCTGTATGACACCCACAATGACATACACACACACGCACAAACATCAATTAACTCTTAATCCACTGCAGAAGGCACAAGTGATGTTGTCTCTAAATTCTTCTATTTAGACTGTACACCCCATATTGATGGCCATAAATTCAGTTGTTTTTGTTTTGTCTTCAGGGCCCGGTTGGTTTCCCTGGTGATCCTGGTCCCCCTGGTGAGGTTGGACCCAGAGTGAGTACACCTTTTTGAAAGATTCATGTCAGCATCGGACATTTGCTAGATGATAATAATGTATTGTTATTATATTATATTGTAATCTAACACCACCGATTCTGGAGTCCTTGTACTTGAAGGTTGCATTACATCTTCTCTCAGGGTCAAGATGGCGCGAAGGGAGAGAGAGGAGAAGATGGTGAATCAGGAGAATCTGTAAGTTACCGATGCAGATGTGTGAATTACGTCAAGATGACCAGTGCTCTCAACCTGCTCTTCCTGGCTTCTACTCCAGGGCTCCCCAGGACCCCCTGGTGAGAACGGACCTCCAGGCCCCCTAGGAAAGAGGGTAAGGTCTCCATCCTCATTGGATTAAGAAAATAAAAATAAAAGGATTAGAAAAAAAGGAAAAAATGTTTTACTTGGATTCCGCTCCATATATCAATCAATAATTCCTATCTTCACCCGAAATCACTCAAATGAGATCCACTGAAGTCATTACGCTCATTATTGTTCTCATTAGATTTTACTTATTCTTCTCTTCTTCCTCTTACACATTTTGTAGCGGTAACTGGTCATATATTTTACTTGGTCTTGATATGATACTTGATATGATATAGTTATCTGAATGAATGTTTTGAACTTTTTGCCAAAGAGGGCCTTGCACTTTTGGTGTTATATTAAATGTTTTTTTTTCCAGGGCCCTGCTGGAACAAAAGGACCAGAGGGACGTCAGGGAGAGAAGGGAACCAAGGTGAGTCCAGAGCTGTAGAATATTTTCAGCTCCTGGTCAAAGTTTAAAGGCGTGGCTAACAATCCTGGTGTTATTTCAATATATCTGACTATATCAGCTTCCTGGTGATGCTGCTTTCCATTAACCATCCCACGATAAATGACAAACTCTGATTTTATATTCAAAAACATTTGCAATATGTCTTTGATATTTCATTTATTCAATTAATGTTTTTGCAGGTATCTTCTGTTTTTGGCAATTGATTGTGATACATAACTTCTACCTTTTCCACAATGGATGAAATACCTTGTGTTTAATCATGTTTCTCATTATAATCTTTTACAGGGAGACACGGGTGCTATCGGCCCCCCAGGAAAGACCGGTCCCGTAGGCCCCCAGGGTCAACCAGGAAAACCAGGAACGGACGGCCTTAGGGGACTCCCGGGATCAGTGGTCAGTACAGATTTATGTATTGCATAACTGTACTATGAGGCGATGCAGTAACTTGTGATACTCATGTATACACTCCCTGCTCAATGTTTTTATAATTGTGTTTCAGGGTGAACAAGGATCCCCAGGACTCGCTGGACAGAAAGGACCACCTGGACCCATCGTAAGACTAGACAGTGACATCTACTCTGCACTTTGACATCTCTGTGTAGAATGACTGCAGCCTATACATCTTGAAATCATCTCATTCAATCCTCAAACCCTCCTCTTCCTGTCTCCCCCTTCATCTTCTCTTCTCCATGTTTCTCGTCTCCGCCACTGCCTCCTCCCTGTCTTCCTCTTCTTCCTCATCTTCTCCTGCTGCAGGGACCTCCTGGTTTGCTTGGTCTGCGCGGAGACCCAGGTGCTAAGGGAGAGAAGGGACATCCTGGTCTTCTCGGTCTCCCTGGGGCCCCAGGAGAGCAGGGGGAAAAGGGAGACAGAGGTTTGCCTGGACCACAGGGATCCTCTGGATCAAAGGGAGAGTCTGTAAGTCTGACCACTACCACTTCTGCTAGAGACGGGCGACTCAACCACAATTACTCTCCTTCATTTGATCACATGTGAATCATTGCCTGACCTGTATCGTGTTGCACTGCAGGGAATGTCTGGAGGCTCCGGACCCCTCGGCCCTTCGGGTCCTGCTGGTCTGCCTGTAAGTGCCGTGTTGAACCGTCACTGCCATCACGCTTTTATATTTCTCGTGGCTTTGTTTCCAAGATTAAGATATTAACTACCAGAGCAATGGTCACCATCCTTGGACTAACGCCTTGTGTCTTTTACAGGGTCCTCAAGGTGTCAAGGGAGCTAAGGGCTCTTCTGTAAGTATACCTTAAGAGTGTTTGTAACACAATGAAATAAAGAAATGCCTCAGCCTGGATCTAATGCAGTGATGCTTCTTGGATCTTTCCACTCCGTGCTGGTTTTAGGGTGGAGCTGGTCCAAAGGGAGAAAAGGGTGTACAAGGACCCCCCGGATCCCCTGTGAGTCCTTCGCTGTTTTTTAAGTTACGCTCACTTCGAGCAACTCACCGGTGATTGTCAGTTCATGGATTAAAACGTAAACTCGCCTCCCAGGGCCCACCAGGCGAGGTCATTCAGCCTCTGCCCATACAGAGGAGTCCCAAGTCGAAGCGCTCCATCGATGCCAGCCAGCTGCTCCCCGACATCGACATGCCCGCGTCTGACGCCGCTGGCACTGAGTTCCTGATGGGCACCGAAGGCATGGAGGAGATCTTCGGCTCGCTCAACTCCCTCCGACACGAGATCGACACCTTGCGTTTCCCTCTCGGCACCCAGGACAGCCCTGCCCGCACCTGCCAGGACCTGCACCTGAGCCAGCCGGAGCTCAAAGACGGTAAGGCACTCCTAAATACGGAGCCGCCACCTGCTCGGTCACATCTCCCTCTGTCGGGTTTTCCACCTTGTTTTGTTTCTTTGCTGCCCTCTGTAGGAGAGTACTGGATCGACCCCAACCAGGGCTGCTCCAGAGACTCATTCAAGGTCTTCTGTAACTTCACCAGCGGAGCAGAAACCTGCCTGTACCCCAACAGGAACATCAACACGGTCAGTCCACCAAACAACAGAAAAACTAGTTCCATCACAAACTTTATTTATCTATCCATTCAAAATGTAAAATGAGCTAATACTTGTCGTGGACAATCCTCGTGGCAGGTGAAGATGAGTTCCTGGGACGACGAGACCCCAGGTTCCTGGTACAGCCAGTTTGCTACTGGTAGTAAGGTTGGTAATCCTTTGCTATCTATCTTATAGTCTAACTCATAACTTAATAATAGGACACCATCTTTTATTCCTATATCGTTCCCTCCTCCCCTCAGTTCTCCTATGTGGACTCTACCGGTGAGCCCGTGGGTGTGGTCCAGCTGGGCTTCCTGCGTCTCCTCAGCGTCCAGGCCCGCCAGAACCTCACGTACCACTGCCACCGCTCAGTGGCCTGGGCCGACCTCAGCGCCAACAACTACAACAGGGCGCTGCAGCTCCAGGGGGCCAACGACGAGAAGCTGAGCTACGAGACCAACCCTTACATCAAGGCCTTGGTCGATGGCTGCTCTGTGAGTTCACACACACACACACACACACACACACACACACACACACCGATTTGAAACCTGTAGAAAACAGTGGACCTTACGTACTGACCCCATGCTACAATGATATGTAGGGGGAAGGGAAATTCAAAGCCTTATTGGAGCCATAAATATAGCAAAAGATCTACTTGAACAGATTAGGTTATAAAATATAATACAGATTATAAGAAGAGCTCAGGGTCTTATGACGGATAGCCTACGATACACGTTTTATTCCAAGTGTTCTTGATCAGAGGTTTAAACAATGGATTCCATATGGAATAACAGCAATTTGCACAGTTGTTAAAGAAGGAGGTGTTGTGAGTTTCCAGGAGCGGATAGACAAATACTCCACCAGGACCGCTTCAGATATCTACAACTAAGGGATTTTTTAAAGAAGGAATAAAGCAGAAAATTAACTTGGGAAAAAATTGAATAATTATAACCATAATAGTCGTTTACAATTGCAATAAATATAGAATCATAACAGCTGTATATCAACATCTGATGTAAAAATTAGGAAATACAACATTTTATGTAAAACTAAAATGGGAACAATAACTTGGTGTGAATAGTATTACTAAATTACTTTATGTACTATATAGAATAAACGTAAACTACGCTCATGTATTTTTGGCTGTGTCTGTATGTTTGTACAGTTTTGGAGAAATATCCACACGGTTATTGTCAACATTCTGGGCTATGACATACTTAATTCATGTATGTTTGTCTACTTTGATAATATGGCAGGAGGTACTGTGTGGTACTGCTAAACATTCTGCTAGCAGCGAGTAAAAAGGCTGTTACACTGAGATGGCTCGAGATAGAACCACCATCACATGATGGATGGTTAAGGATGGGACTGAAATATGGAACCGTTACCTCACAGAATAAGAGCTCAAGAGGAGCGAGGTAGAGGGAGGGTTATCTGGGAGAAAAGGTAGATGTTTACACGTTAACGGTAACACAAGATAACAACACCTGAATGTGTCTCGGGATTCATCCTGCTTTTGAGAGGATAGAACAATCCAGATCCCTTTCTTATTCTTATTAATTGTAATGATGTTTTCTGTCTGTGGTGAAACAAAACAAAAGTGCAAAAAAGAAAGCTGCCTTTTGACATATTTACCAGTATTACTGTTGGCGATGTTATGATGCAGAGTTCAACGATATGAACATGTGTGTGACGTGTGTCTCTCTCCCTGCAGTACCGTAAGGGCTTTGACCGGACAGTCCTGGAGATCAACACGCCACAGGTGGAGCATCTTCCTCTGCTGGACGTCAAGGTGTCAGACTTTGGGGAGAGCAACCAGCAGTTTGGCTTTGAAGTGGGACCTGTCTGTTTCCAAGGCTAAAACATGTACACACACAACCACGCATCATGCAAAGAATCAACACGTGCAGTCACTCATGCACACACACACACACACACACACTTCGAGAAACACTTATATATATGAAACATTCACAACCAGTAATTTGTAAATTAACTTGTAAATTATATGGAACACGAACCCACTGACACACACACACACACACACACATCCACACACGCACATGCTTTTGTGAGACAAACACTCACTCTGGAGCACGTGACGGGGAAAGCGACATCCTCCCAACAATTAATGGACGTAAAAAAAAGTTAAAGAGGAGAGAAATACCAAAGAAACTTGCGGAGAGGAGACCATCGTTTGGAAGAAAAACCAGGAGATTCTTTGGAACGAAACAGTGATTTCTTCACCTGCAGGAAAGGGGGCCCGCCGCCTACATGAGGCCCGAAGCAGCCCCTCCCCCACCCCCCCAGTCTCTGATCCCCCCTCACTCATCTCTTCTCCCCGCTGTGTCTCTTCTACTTTACACCCACATAGACTGATCTGCCTCCCCTCACCTCTTCTCAAAAATAGGTCACATTTGGACACTGTTTCCTTTTCTTTTGATCCCGAGTTCACTCTGTGAGCGGCGCGGACATCAGGGGGGCCGAGAGGCTCCTACGGGGCTGACACGACTCTCAGGTGAAAAGTGATGAAAAGGGGGTTCACCATTGGAAGTTTTGAATGGGCTTTTTACCTGAGAAGTTCTCACATCAAACCAAACAAACTAGTTGTGTGAGAAAAGAAAGTGCAGTGACCCGTCAGCCGTGTTGTTCCCATTAAAGCACACAGCTCTCAGCTGGCTCCTTTTTTGTCTCTTTGTAAGATTCTCCATGTGATCACCTGCTCGGAGGAACGAAACAACACGTTCACGTCGTTGAACAGATCAGTGAATTTAAAAGCCATTACTTTCCCAAACTGTGCTGAACTTGATGTGATTGTACTCGCGTGTCACTGGTGCCTTTTCAAAGGGCCGATGCTTCTTCTGCTGGGTCACTATACGCAGCGGTCCTGTGTCTGCTGAGTCACTTTCTGGGTTCTTTGATTGTTCTTTTCCATCTTGTGATTGCGTCCAAGCGCTGAGCATCATCAGGGTTTAAACATGTATCTGAAAGTTCCCTCCTTCTTTTTCCATGCAGCAGTGAATAAAACGCATGCTTTACTGAAAGAAACTGTGTGGCAAGGTGCTAATTATACCAACACATAAAACCTTTAGTGTCCACCCTGAGTCCTACTCCTTAGTCCCTTTTACAGGTTCATGAAGTCTTTTACTATGGAAAATGTGCATTGCATTACATTTGTACAGAAATAGTGATATTCTATCTTATTTATTTAAAACAAACAGGGTACTTTGTGATTGAATAATACAAGGACCACCAAATATGCCAGTCAAATGTGGTATATTTCATTTGTATTTATTTCCTGTGACTGACACGTGGAGGTGAAGGGAAGCGAGTGACTCCAAACAATCTGTGGCCATATCTTATTGTAAAATCCCCAACGCCTGTACTGTGCTGTTCATTTCTGCTTCCTCTGTAATGATTAAACGGTGACTCTGCAGTTCTGTCACATTTCCTTGTGGTTGCTACTGTTTGGGTTTTGGCTCTCAGGTTAATCAGTCACTGGGCTTTGGGATGCATCACAAACAGCTCACTGAGTCGGCCCCCGGCGTTGATCTAAGGGGCTGAAGGGGGCTGAGTTGTGGTGTGAGACCACGGCGGGTAGGAAAGGCTGAGAGAGGGAGGAGACGACTTGTCAGCCATCAGGGGATCGAACGGGTGAACGCGATATCTTTGGGTACATCGTGGCTGTGGGGTGAGATCAGACTAGGGTTCTGCTCTTTTTGTTGTTGTTTTGTTATTGTTTGTCCTTTCATTTTTATTTTTACTATAGCAGGGAAAACGGGGGTAGCCAAGCTAAACCTAAAAACTAAAAAATCCGACCTTGAGATTCTCCAAAGTGAATAACTTCGAATATCTGTCTGCTTTTACTGTGTTGAAGGCAAACGTTTCAACAAAAAAAAAATGGTGCTGAAAAGAGGAAAAAAAGTATTATTTTATAATGTGTGTAAGTATTTTTTTTTAAATAATTGTCTCTGTAATATATACTCTTTTAAAAAGAGCTGCTTGACTCTTGTTTTTTTTCCAAACCCATCAGTAGTTCCTCGCTCTTTCTCATGTGTACAGACAGTACACACCTTCTTCGTGTGCGAGGGTTATTTATTGGTATGTTTTCCTTAGTCATTAATCTCCTCAAATGGCTCTAATTGGTATTGCAGCTGAAGCAGCTGGAGGCTACGCCTTTTGCTACGTAGGCAGATTCACGTGAGGCGGCTTTATTCATGCATGAATTGTGTTTCTGCTGGCTTCTAACTGGCTCCAGAGGACAACGGATGAGTTGATTTGTGTCTTTCAAAATCCTCTTTTCAGAGCGGGGGGGCATTTCTGTACAGAGTAGAATAAAACCACTTGGGATTTCGACTTAAACCTCAAAAAATCGACATTCAAAATTATTGTGTGTGTGTGTGTGTGTGTGTGTGTGTGTGTGTGTGTGTGTGTGTGTGTGTTCATCGGGCAGCCTCACTGTCTCTTGCCTGAAGATCCTCAGTTCCTTTTGTGTGTGTTTGTGTTGTGTTTCTTCGTACGTACTCACACATAATACCTGACACCTATGCAATGCATTGTGGGTTTCACTGCTTTCATTTGGTCCCGTTGGACTCCACTGAAGAGAAGCTAAGTGAACTGGAGATGGTCCAGGATGAAGACACTGCTGACTTGAAGGACCAAGAAAGAACCCCGGAGACGCAGGAGGAGAGACGACATCACTGCGTTCAGCTCTCTGCTCTTCATCCAAAACACAGAAAGAGGGAGACGCATGATGATGATGATGATGGTGACGGTGTGTTTATGTTCCATCTTTAGTCCTTATTAGGGTGTTTTTGCTTCCTCTCCATAGACTGTGTTTATATCTGGACAGTGGCCCTGTCTGATACCCACTGCAAATATCATTATTATTAGTGTTTACATTGCTATTAATACAATTTTTATTATCATAATGTATTAACTATATCCACTGCTGCTCTTATTGATTGTGTCCATCAATATTCTTCTTACTACTTATCATCATTTAAATACTTGGATATATCCTTATAGTAGACCCTTCTAATTATTATATTTTCATTTTTCAGACATGTATGGAATGCACTAGTGGCAGTGGAGGCTGCACACTAATCTTATTGTATGATACTTTATGACATAAGCATCCAATGTATTGTAAATATTTTACGTTGCTCATTCTGCGCACATGACATCTGTTGTACTAATGTCCCCATAGAGGGGTCCTCCTCGGTCTCTCCCTAAGGTTTCTTCCTGTTTCCTCCCCATTAAAGGGGTCACTTGTGTTCGGACTGTAAAACCCTCTGAGGAACCTTTGTAATTTGGGTGATACAAATAAATTGAATTGGGCTGAATTGAATGTTTCTGATTAAATGTAATACTCACGTGGGCCGCCCTCTTCGTTTACCAACGGGGAACCGATTGTTCTATTGTGGGTAATTAATTACCTTTGGCTAATTCTGCAGAAATTCTGATTAATGGAAAGGGATGGAAAGGGAAAGGGGATCCTAAAGGGATGAAAATATCCAAACGAGAGAGTCCTCAAACGGATGACTTGACAATGGAAAAGAACTAAAGCCGCGACCGACTTCACGTCCGCTTTAAAGCAACGTGCTGCAGTAGCGCAAAGTGCCCAGCGGGGGGCGGAGTCGAGCCGGTATGCGCGCACCGGGGGGCGGAGTCGAGCCGGTATGCGCGCACCGGGGGGCGGAGTCGAGCCGGTATGCGCGCACCGGGGGGGCAGTTCATTCATCTAGAAAAAACACCCGCAGGCGTCGTACGGTTAATATTGAATCTTAGTCCACCAATTATGTTTTGTTTTAGAACATTAGCTTTGTTATATAGTTGGTTTCCTCTCCTCCCAAAATGATGGTAAGAGTATAAGCAACTAGTTTATCACTAGTCAGAAGTTATCTACAAAAAGATCAAGTTATGTTTTATTATTTACCAAGTATTCATATGTGACTGAATGTTTGATCATTTTAGGAGTCATGAAGGAGAAAAATAGTCACTAAAACGAGATAACTGTAAATGAACTTTCCCCAGTCAGTGACCGGAAGAACATTTGTTTATTTACGTACAGATGTTCAGGAGAAATACTGAAGTACAGAGGCATTTAGATTTCTGACAAACCAGAAAGATACTGATATTTTGGAACAAAAAAAAAAGATTCTGAAGCCAACAAGATAAAGACCGCTTGACGAAAGTCACTGATGAAAAAAAAGACTATAAAATATGTACACTTGTAGAAACCTGACATTCATTCTGTATATTGTTTATATAGAAGACTTAAAAGCTTTTGATCACTTTCTGTATTATGAAAAAAAAACATTCCAAGTACTCACTTTGAAAACACACAAAAAAAGATGGACACATTTTACCAAAATGGTTTAGTGGTATCCACACAAACAGCAGTTATTACTCAACATGAACGCACGTTTCGTCTAAACTGGCAGCTGGACCCCAGAAATTACAGGTTTTCACCAGCATTCGGCTTTTCCACCGTACCAACCCGGTATGATCCGTCTTCAAACGCCTCAGATAAATAAACCTTTAGATTAAACTCAGAATACAACTTAAAGGCTAAATTGTAAAAGAGAAAAATAACGTTTGCTCTTTGGTGTTAAGTGACGGCTCGTGGGAAAATCAACCAGAAAATGCTTCACTTATTTTATTTAAATATCAATAAGAACCATTTGAATCCAAACACCAGAAGAAACCAGATGAACCGAGATGTTATTTGGGCAGAGGTGAGTGGACAAGACACGTCCCCACAATTTATTAACAGATTGGTCACAAGAAGAAAAGAAAGAAACAAGTTTACAGAGAAATTGTAATGATGAACAGCACACATGGGAACGACAAAGGTTTGTAGAAACTGATGTGTGACTGGGTCACATTTCTGTACAGTGGGCAACTCTTTAAACAAGTACACGAGTACATCAGGATGCAGTGAAGTAGTATGCAGATGTTGGTCAGCTCCTCTGTATTGCATGCATTCTGTATTCTACTGAACCAAGGTGCTTCTGCGTGCAGACTGATTTTCAACGCCTGCGTCAAAACTATGAGGATCTCTCACTCGCACATGCAAACACCGACGCAACACATTCACACGCGTGTTTCCGGGAGAAAAAAAAAAAACTAAAACACATCTCCGCTCGGACCAGCTTGTCTTTCCCAGAATGAGGGAATAAATTACTCCATAAAATGCTTCTTTATAAAAGAAAAATAGATATTTATAGAACTGTACACCATATCTATACAGCATAAAGACCAGGAGCACAGGAAGGAGGGAAATCATCTCCAGAAATAAGACAGATTCCGGCTCTAGCACCCATCGTCCCTCCAACTCGTCTCCCAACTCCTGTCTGCAGGAGATGGAGCGTCCCCCGCTCCACCCAGCATGAACGCCAGGACTCCAGCCTCCTGCTTCCCGCCCTGCTCAACTCGCCCGTGTCCAGGACAGGATGGATGGATGAGCGCGGGGAGCCCCATCTCCCTCTCTGTGGGGTTCACACTAGTCGAGTCGGCCCCGTTGTGCCTGGTGCTGGTCTCGTCTGACCCGTCCCGCGGCTCCGTCGGCAGAACTCTGCCGCAGCTCAGTCCGCTCCGTGGGAAATGAAACACCCGGGGTCCCTCGCGTGACCCCTTTCTATGTGGAAGCACCTCCTGCCTCTCAGCCGGAGTCAGAGTCGCTCGTGTCCGAGGATGAGGACGAGGAAGAGGAGGAGGAGGAGTCAGAGGAGGAGCTACTGGCGCTGAGACGTGACGGCTGGGTGTTCTGCTCAGTTGCTGGTTTCTCTGCTGGAGAGAACATAAGAAAGCCCTTTTAAAACAAGTATCTCATTATATTTAGTTTCTCAGTTAGAAACGTGTCTGTGTCTGCAAACCCGACAAGACATAACAGATTTATTTTACAACTCTAGCAAACCAGAAGGAAATAATTTGGAAAAAAACGTCTGACAACTGTATTCGTTCACTACATCTGCAAGTTACTATTAATGTGATATTTATTAATAAAATAAAAATCTTAAAGGGGTTTTCATTCTCAAAGACTGACGCACGTTTGGTCTTAGTGGGCTTCTTCCCAGAGTTGAGCTGACCACTGACGTCCATCAGCCTCCTCTCCAGCTCCAGTTGTTTCTCCAGAGCGAGCTCCTCGCGAGATTTACCGGCAATGTTGTTCTTACTCGCTGTGTGGAAAGACAAAAGCAACAATAGCCATAAGGAGAAAGATACTTGATAAATGGCTGGATCACAGGCCTCAACGAGCCATTTCCTCCCCGACTCACCATACGGCTTGCGGGGCTTCTTCCTCAGACACGTCATGACGTATCTCTCCAGCTCGCGCAGCGTCGATGGCTTCAGGGTTTCAAAGTCGATCTCGATCTCCTCTGGGTTGGTGTCCCGCAGCGAGGGCTCCCGGGACTGGATGATGTAGACGACGCGGCCCAGCTTCTCCCCGGGGAGCTTGTTGATGTCCAGGCTGAGCTGCCGCTTCTCATCGTACGACATGGGCGCCGTCTCCTCCTCTTCGTCGGAGTCGTAGTGACTCACTATCGGGTCGTGGACCGGCGGAGGCATGCTAAACGTCATGCCGCCCTTTTTGGTTCTGATGGGAGTCAGGGGAGATCATGAGAAGAGGGTCCATTGAAACACAGAGAAGTGACGGCCGTGCAGTTTATGAGACTTGTATGGATTATTTATTTGACTAGAAAATGAAATGAATTGTACAGAAGTTCTATAGAAATCTTCCTCAATCAAATACAGCATGCACCTAATGCAGTACCAACATCGCCCAACAGGCGTCAGTACTCACTTGCTCTTGTTGTTTTTCTTGCTTGGCGCCTTCTTGACCGGCACGACGGCACCGGCCGTTCCTCGGTTGCTCTTGGGTTTCGGGGTCTTGGTGATCTTGGGGGTCTTGGGCGGTCTAATGGGGGTTACCTCTTCCTCTATCTTCCGATGCTTCTCTTTTTCTACCTTTTTCTTCTTTTTCTTGTCCTTTTTCTCTTTCTTCTTCTTGGGTTTGACGATGGGGCCCTGGGAGAGCGCTGTAAGCTGCTCGTGTACAGCTTTCAGCTGAAGGGGGAAAGAAAGAAAGGTCAATGGAATTCTGAGGAAAAAGATCGGTGTTTCCCACACATTCATTTGTGGCGATGCGCCACACACTGCGTTTGGTGTATTTTTTTTAACGCTATTTAAATCACGCAGCGTATTCGTTCAGCTGCATTTCCTTTCCCTGCTCTTCCTCTGTCTGTCACACACACACACACACCCCTCCCCTCCGTGCACACCGCGTCTGTCTCGCGTCTTTTTTAGCGAGCCCTGCAAAATCCGTTGCTCTGACAGAAGTTGCAGACTTCGCACATGGAGGCTGTAACAAGTAGTATAGTGTGTGAAATGTACACTACAGCTAGTATGTAAGCTGTAGTACACATGTCCCCCCCCATCAGCCCCCACACATTGATGTTGCATCTGTTGGAAACACTGGGTCATTGGTTAAAAGACTATTGGGGGAGCGATAGCGCAGGCTGTGTTTTTATCATACGGGGCTTCGTCCCTTTGAGAAGCAGAGGAGGGATGATGATCCTTTACATCGTGTCCACTTACAGCTAAAATCTCTAAACATGGAGAGACTGGCAGGTGCATTTCTGATGTATACCTGCATGCTTTCATATACCGGCAGCTTTGTGGACTTATGTGTTGCATGTTGTTGTTTTCTGATTATGGGCACTGCTCAGCGGTATGTTGATATTTTATCGCAGCTATGAATCTTCCCATTTAATGAAATCCACGATATTATCTTGTGAGTACAGACCTGCTCCTGCAGCTCTGCTAGCCGGTTTGCCCTCTCCTCCTCAGAGTCGGAGCTGGGGCTGCTCTCGCTCTCCTCACTTTCACTGCTGACCTCGCTCTCAGAGGACGATGAAGAGGAGGAGGACGAGGAAGAGGACGAGCTTGGCGGGGCTGGAGCCTCATCTGGCATCTTAGCAAAGCAGAACTCAAAGACATCCTAAAGGGATTAAACATTATGTGAGTGAACCAGGTTGAAACAAAAACTGATTAAAAAAGCTTTATGGACAGAACACAGTGAATAATCCAATACGACTGGAATAGGTGCTTTACCTGCAGTTTCCTGGCCATGCCCACCACATCATGATCAGGAGGGTTGTACTTGTAGCAGTTTGAGAACATCAGTCTCACATCAGCAGAGAACTGCTGGGCGTCCCGATACTCTCTGCCGTCCATCTTACGCTGGTGAGACAAGGAGGTCCAAGTTTAAATGACTAAAGAAGCAGACACGTGTGTGTGTGTGCGTGTGTGCGTCCAGGTGAAATACCTTGATGCTGCTGAGGTCCATGGGCTGCTTGATGATGTCGTGGTAGTCGTGGAGGCCGAGCAGCGAGGCATCGACGGGCTTGTAGAAGGGCCAGGCGTACGCCGCGTGCTTCTTGGACAGCAGCTCCTTCAGGACCCCGTTGCAGTAGCGGAGCTGGGGGCTCAGCTTGCTGCGGCGCACCGGCGTCACAACCAAAGAATCTGGCAAATCCTTCTTGGGAGGTTTGATGGCTCGGCCACTCACTCCCCTCCTGCCCCCCGCTGCTTTGTTACCCCCCATCATCACTGGTCCACAACCCATGCCCATACCCATACCCATACCCATGCCCATCCCCATCCCCATGCCCATACTCATGCCCTGGGTGAGGCCAAGGCCCGGGGTCATTCCCAGCGTGGAGTTGTGGTCCACTCCGAGGGACGTGAGGGTGAGCGGGGAGTCGTGCCCACCACCCAACCCGAGGCCGATGCCGCTGACCCCCATGGTGCTCATGATGGGCATGGCTACAGTGGTCGGGGTGGTCGTGTCTGCTTTCCTCTTCACACCTTTTTTCTGTAGGTGAGGGGAAGGATGGGGGGGCATTAGTATACAGGCTTTCTCACCTCTATTCAAAACACCCCCCAAACTGAGTAGACAAAGAGTGCAGTGCTCTGCTTTACCTTGGTGGTGGGCTGTGTGGGTGGCAGACCAGTAATGGTAGCGATGCTTTGTTCACTCGTTAGAAGTGGGGGCAAGGTCTTGGTCAAGTGGGACTGTGGAGGGGTGGACAGGATGGAGTCGGGTGTTTCTGGAGTGGGGGGCGAGTACGCCGACTGGGATACGGCGGGGACCTGGTGAGCGGTTGTCACTCCTCCAGTGACTGGGGGGGAGAGAAAGGGCATAATGAGCGTTTAGGAGGAGCTTGTGCGTGTAGGAGCGACACGTCTGGCTGCATTAGCTGGCTAACGTTACCTCGTCCTTTCCTGCCAGGCTTTGCTTGTTTCATCCGCGGAGGGGGAGGGGGCAGCTCTAGTTCCTCTTGGGGCATCTGAGCCACTTTCTGGAGGAAAGCCTTCTCCAGAGACTGAGCCATTAGTACTATGTCATCTGTAGGCTGCAAGGGGGAGGGGGGGCATTTGGGCAAAATGGTTACAACCGTACACTTTATAAATAGTAAATGGCACAATTCCTAAAACTTAGACTGCATGTGAACTTGTGTTACAGTAAATCAGCATGTTCAACACACATCCTGACTGCCAATAGCAACGGGTAATCATTATTCCCATGTCTGAGCTTTTAACAGACACAATCTTACCTTATTATAAATGTAGCAGTTGGTGAACATGGTGTTGAAGTCCTGCATACACTCACTGGCACTGCGGTAGAAGTTATTTTCTAGTCTCTTCTTAATAGAGCCCATGTCCATGGGATTTTTGATGATCTTATGATAGTCCTGTCGGTAGAGAGAGACACCTTCAGTCATTAAAAACGGCCACTCAATAAAGTTACTTTTTAAATAATTAAAAGTAAAAGACAAGCAGACAACTAGTCTTATTTAGTTTGATTAAAAGCTGTATAATAATTACAAGTGGCTGCTGGGAGTGTTTGTACTTTGAGTACTTCGTTGTGGAGACATAAAAGCTGACACAATAAGGCGGCAGTACCTAGATGTCTCATGTGTTTGATACAAGCAGATGTCTCATGTGTTTGATACAAGCAGATGTCTCATGTGTATGCTAGTAGTTGCGTCCACTCGTCTTGTATTGACACTCACAGGCAGGCTGAGCTTGGCGGCATCAACGGGCTCGTGGAAGGGCCATGCAAAGTGGTGCCTCCACAAGGACTTGAGCAGGACTTTCTGTAGGAACTGAAGTTGGTTGGTCATCCTCCCCTGTCGGCTGGGGTCTCTCACCAGGGGCTGTGGGGGTCCGGAGGGGGCCATGTGACTGAGGGGGGGCATCCCAGGACTCTCAAAGCCCTCATAGAGCAGTGATGGTTTTCGGATGCGTTTTCCAGCTGTGCCAGAACTCTGGTCCATGGTTGTGACTCCCATAATGCCAACCTCAACCCCGAGAAGGGAGCTGTGGAGAGCGATTGAAACACCAATTAACTCTTTGTGCAGCTTGTCTGAGGTTGTTGACATCATGCAGACACAAAAAGCAATTACACACATTTTTCTACAGTGTAATTCTATACAAAGTCTTGCCATCACCTTAACAAAATCCTCTACTTTGTATAAAAAGTGCACACCAAAAAAACTTGGGCGCAACTAAAACTGAGGTCATATTTAGAGCTTGCTAGTCACCCATTACAGGAAGCATTAGCAAAATATACACTGTATGCTTTCCAACTCAACTCATTCTGATTGCATATGCACACATACAGCATGGAGTAAATCGCCGTTACAAGGCGCACACAGCAAGCCACCTTCTAGACGTGGCTGGACAAGCACGCATTAGCCTCAGTTGGAGTTTAGCCCTGCCAGATCAGCACTCCCTGTCCCAGGAGGACATGCCTTCACTTCCTCATCTGTACATCCATCTCACAGATCACATGACCGACTCCAACCCATTTCCATGAGCAAAAATTGTTCCCTAAAGGAACTGATGTTACAGTAATGATCGAGTATTTTAAAAGTGGTTTAAACCGGGCAAGCAAGGCTCTATACAGACTGAATGAGGCCTTTAAAAAAAGACCATGACTGCACTACCATAGCTGGGCTGTGCTGTGCTGTGCTAGCTGAGAGGAACGGCAGAGGGGGTTCCTGGTGACTTCTCAGCAGCAGGCACATCGAGTTTGAACACCCCGATGACAGTCACAAGGTCACATAAGCCTGTTCAGCAGGTAACCTCCGCCCCCGGCAGTTAATAGTTCATCAGAGGTGCTCCAAATACTCCAGGATGTCAGACATCAGAACAACCGGTATCTGCTGAGACACGTACTTCTGGGCCCTGAATATGCACCACTGCAATAACCGATTAAAGCATTACAATCATCGAAACAACACTAGCACAGCTGCTTTGATGTCAGGGAATGTCCAGCGTCCGCTATCCTCATTGTCGACAACATGGAACTCACCATATCCCATCTGCACCAGCCAACCGAAGCTTTGACGCCTAAACAAAGTGAGGCCGACAGTGCAAAATCTGATGGAAAATAATGCATCACTTACAGTACTTGGAACCTATTCGTTTACGCTGTGCCATGCAAATTCGTGATAGTTGTTGCTACTGGGCAGATATACTATGACATTAATGCAATTTTTATTGAGTTAGAATCACAGTGTAAAATAAGTTCCCCTGCAGACATGTGCAACCTTTTATATTGAACTCACATCCCACTAGCTTTTACACATCAAGTGTACAGACAAGGCTATAACTAACAAATAAATATATAACATTGTATTTGTTACCGTATGGCAATCTGTTTCGAATGATACAACTTTTGGAAACACATTTGACAGTTAGTGTACTTTATTATTTAAAAAAGGAAAATAATCATGTACATAACATTAACAAGGCTAAAGAAACACTTTCATGTTGGCTGTAAATTTTGTTGAAAATTATTTGCTGTAAAAATAACATACCTATGCGTTAAATTGGGTAGATCAGCCAAGAAAAAAAGGGAAATTAACTAAATCGAACTAAATTAACCCAAATGTACAACGCACAAAAGTCGCTAACATAACCGTACTTGAAATAGTTGAGTGACATTGAGCTACGTAACCAAGCAACCAACTCCCAACACACATAACTAACATTAGCTAGAACGGTGCGCTGCAGGTTTGCTGTAACGTCGCACCGGTGATGACAACAACCCGTCACATGGCTACAATAACAACCGGGCTTACATGCAGAAATGGCGGGGTGATAATACACATCAGCCTCCTTCGCCACTTGTAGCAATTTAACTCACCGTTTCAACATTACGAGCTAGTTAGCCGCCATCATATATACGATTAAAAATGAATGCGCTTGGTATTACACCGTATGACTGAAGGTTGAATCCGGGCACAAGTTGCACTGCCCCCCTGCAAACCAGAAGCACCGGTCAAGCTACTGTTGTATGAGGGAACGCTTGCATTTGAGAGGCTACTGCTAGCGATGCTAACATAACTGCCGGGCAGCGGGAGAGAGCGGCCGACGGCAAAGGCGCTCCGAAGATGGCGCCGGCGTAAAGCGAACAACAATCGCAGCTCGTTAGAGCCCCCAAAAAACAATTCATTTTTGCTATTAATTTCATCACCGCGATACTTATTCCTGTGTTACACTCAATGTCCATTTCGATCTCCAAAACGTATTACAGCAAACAGTTTTCCGAAAATGATATGTTGACTAAAACTTATGAGAAATATTTACAATATTCCCACTGATGAAAAGCCAACAGTCGAGTTTACCAGTAGATACCTGTCAAGGAGCGGGTTAACAGCCATATCCATCAGGATGGATCCGGATTCTGTTTATAGCTAGACTCAGACCAGGATCCGTCTCTGTTAGTCAGCTTTCCGCTCCCCGCCACGATGAACTCCTTACATCTGCTTCGTTGAAATGGCGACGATGCGACTACACCCTCGTCTTTATAGACCTACCGTTACTCCTATTGGATAGTTGACTTCAGACTGTCCACACCCCCCGAGTTTCTATTCGCTGTTCAACTTGTCCGTTAAAGTTACCACACCCCTCGGTACAGACACCTCGCTGACTTTCTTTGAGGGACAACCTATTCGCATGTTTTTGCTGTCGCTCAATGAAAATGCGCCACACTATTGGCCCGGCCTGTTCAGTGACACGGATATGCGTCTGTAACTGGTTCCTCCATTTAATCCTGCACAAAACGCGGGGGCATCGACGCAGGCCCCTACCGCCTCCTTGTATTACATTACGTCAACGTGTGCAAAGCGACGCCTGTGATTGGTCAACATGGTTCTAACGCGGGCTTCCAGGGTAAACATCAAGGGGCCCATTGGTTCTTCCATCAGGTCACGTGCAGCCCTCGAGCGCCTCACCCCACTTCTCTTCCTCCCCACAGCATGTCCGCATTTCGGTCGCTCGGAATAAGCTTACAGGCGCCATCTTTAAGCGCCCTGACACAGTAGATTAATAGGAATATAAAACGAAATGTCTGGTTAAACGTCAAGCAAAGCACCAAAAACGCCACCTGTTGTTCGTGCTAACACGAATGAAGTAGTAGTAGTTCGTCTGCAGCGGAATACATTCCACCCTCTGAGTACAAAGCCACTACAGGCCTAAATGCCTCACAAACGTCGAACCAATAACGTCGCATACTTCAATTTACCTGCATGAGTAAAACGTAAATGTCTTGTAGACCCGTAACATCAACCGAAGAAATGTCGCCTGGGTCACACGAACTGAAAACGACCATCTGCTGAATGACACAGCAGATTTTCTCACTGACCTCATACTGCACCAAAGAAACTTAAATACCGTGTATTATAAAACACAAAATGACCATCGCACTTAAGTCCATTAAAGAGTGTTAGAAAATCTAAACCCAAATTAATCTGATGCTTAAACACGCAAATACCATACTTCGTCTCAAGTTTACGAAATAAACCAAACGGTAACGAATCCATACAATTAACTTGTAGCAGTACATCTTCACAATCTTTAGAATTGACCGACATCATGTAGAAAATCAACAACCAGACAAAATGGTTACCTAACCACATGCGCCCATCCCCCACACCAAGGTTACAAATGCGCCACAATGTCACTCTAACAGACAATGCAAGGTAACCATAGGTCCTATCAATGTCACTTTTTAGAAACTTTTAACTAACGTTACGTTACGTTGTTAAAAATAAAGTAAATACAGTTCAACTGGAATTAAAATCATCAAAAAGTAAATTAAATAAATAATGAAATATTAAATAAAAACCTTCAATTTTAACATAAATACAAATGTTGACTGGTAAATTCCGTAACAATGCGAAACGTTTCTTCAAATATTCTTCTCTTCTTCCACCTCGAGACTTTTTACCCAGCACATTTTCCTCAAACATGTCCGCCGTCTTCCTCGTCGCCAGCTCCGGGTGGGGGAGGGGGGGTCACGTGACGAAATCCCGCACAGCGCACTGTTTGTCACAAACTTCGACACGTGGCATTCAGCCAAAACCAAAAAGAAACGTATCCTCCGCGTCTCCTTTGTAGCGAAACCGTACATCCAGGTACACATCCAGGCTTTTTTGTAAAGCATAAGGCGCAGATTTGGGCATAAAGTTGGCAAAATACCCGAACAAAGAACATACTTTCCGCTGGATTTGCTTCGCTCCCATTGGTCTTCCTTGGCCACGTGACGGAAACGATTTAAGTCTTTCTTATAGTGCTGTTTTCCTAAACTCCCTACACTGTAATCCACGTGTGATCGCAGTTATCCTTCAGACCGCGTGCGTAGTTTCTCAGTTTGTTTCAAAAGGGTTAACATTAGTCATGTCTGTTCCCTCCAGCTGTAAAGCTCGGTCGTGTAGCAGCACCGCGCACTGCGCATGCGTCCCTACCACAGAGACACGTCGCCAGCGATGCGCTGGCAATGCAGTAGGCTGATCTAAGAACAGTTGTTCTCAGCACTCAGATCCCGCTGTTGAGTATTCCCTGGAGGGGAGAGGAGATCCGGCCTCGGGGATGAAGAGTGTTGATCTTCAAATTAAAACAGGAAGAAGCTTATAAGTGTTGTGCTGCACTTTTTAGCATATCATAATTAACTTTACTACTATAAAATAATAATTTGTCTACCTTTCCGGTGGAAAGCAAACTAAGAATGGTGAGCATTATTTAATTATGTGTCATTCGAGGCTGTATCGCTATCCGGATGTTTTGTTGTTGTTTTTCAGCCAAATTGCCAGTTCTGCATGCCTCTAATACAAACATCTAAACACATTACACTTCTATGGGAAAACAGAAGTACGGCCACTGAAAAATATAGATTTCATAGTTCAAGACTTTATTTCCGGGCAGTGATATATGATTCTATTTCAGTCTGTATTTCTATACTGTATTACATTTTTATAAATATATCATACAAAACAAAAAATACTTAAATAGCGTGACTGTAAAGTCATTAAAAAACAATTCCCATAACATCTGGATGAATAGTTTTGGCTTAACACTGCTGATCATTAATTGAACTGAAACCAGATCAAATGACACCATGTTGTGTTACAGGTTGTTTGTGTTTGCATACAAACCTGAATGGCCAGGAGCAGCCATGTAGGTGGAGGAGGTGGAGGAAGGGAGGGGTCGGTAGATTACATCAATCAGCCTGCTCTGACTCACCCCTCTCTCTCTCTCTCTCTCTCTCTCTCTCTCTCTCTCTCCCTCCCTGGGAGTCTCTCCCTGTTTTTCCAGAGCTGGGCTGCGTGAGCCAGTCACATGATGGCTATCAAGTCCAGAAATGGTTGCCAAGGAAGCTCTCTCCTTCACAGCCCCCCCCCTGAGTCATATGTTGTGAGTTTTACAAATCTAGCTCAGGCGTTGACAACCCGGCTCCAGGATCGTGCTTTTGTGCTGTCGTAAATGTTCTGTGCGGCTGTCCTGTTTGCGTAGTTGTGTAAATGAAGTGGCTTTACTTCCTGGTGGGCAGGCCTTCCTTAGCAACAACAGCCCCTTTGTCAACGGAGGCAAGCAGCCGTTCTGTGATGCAGAAGAGCCGTGTGCATCGAAGTGTTGAGCAGCGTCCTCATCTTCTGAACCTCACGTCCTCCGGGGAGAATCACGCCGCTCGCTCTGTCGACAGCGTAGAAAATGATTAAAACAACGAAGTAACAATTTATCCGTCACACTCATCTTTAACTTTATGGTTAATAACTGTTAAACGTTCATTTAAGAGGAGATGTATATGGGCATACATTTATTAATTGTGTATTATCATTATTTCCTTTTTTTATTATCTTGGTTATTGTCAACACCGGTATGACAACGGGTCCCTGAATACTCTGATATAATATGACATCACTAATAACATGAAGACAAGAGGACAGCTCTCCCATTCTGGTGTTTGTATTTTAGTACGACGTCCTTTGCTTCCTTCCACAAAGTAGACATCGCAGCACGCAGCACCCATGAAGAGCAGCAGGCGGTTTATTCCTTCACGTATGTGGATCCCCAGCAGACACCACCGAGGCAATGTAAAAAAAGAAAAATCCAAGAAGAAGGGGAACAAACGCAACCCCCCCCAAAAAAAACAGTACATACCCACCATAGCAACAATAACAAGTACCCACAATATCTGATACAGCTTAAAAAATAGTACAACTACAAACAGCATAAACAATACAAATGAAAACAATATCGTCCCTCATTAATGATAGTGAGATGTTACAAAGCAGAATTGCTCAACATATTTGTTGGTAACGTTGTCTATTGTTTGTAATGTGGATTTCTAACATGATGGAGCCATGATCTGCAGACCAGAGGAGACGTTTTACCTTTGAAGCTTCATCCGCTTTACATGCTTTATTTACAACCAACTGGAGATAAAGATTAGAGATGATCAATGAAAACCAAAGCTGATGGGATGCATGTTTCCAAGAAGGTAAAACAACAGCTGCTTAATTATGCAGTCAGAGTCGTAAAGGGACACTCCATTGTCCACTATGAGGGGAGGGATTTCCATCTGAATGGAGGGAGACTTTCTCCTCCACAAGGGTCTCTTCATTGACAGAGCAAACCGTTTAAGTAGAAAAGTTAAGTGATTTTATTTGAGCAACAACTGCGAACAAACCAGCCAGAGGACTGGAAATGACCAATGCAGGTAAATCAACAAAGAGACCACTCGCATGAAACCACATTAAATGTGTGTGTGTGTGTGTGTGTGTGTGTGTGTGTGTGTGGGTGGGGGGTGACGGAGGGGGGGGCGCCTGGCTCAGGTGTGATCCCGGATAGTTGCTCCACCCCCTGCTGTCTATCAGAAGGATGTGCAAAACAATCAAGCCGGAACCGGAAGCCACTCAAAGGTCGAGCGTCTGGTCAATCCATTCTGTCGGTTTGAGAACAGGAGGACACTGTTGTGTCCAATACTTGACGATTACATACTATTAGCAGCATGTTTTATAGTTGAGATTTTTTGATGGTTTGAGATTATATTTTTGTACGGTTGTTAATCCAATAAAACATTTTCAGAACCACTTCTTGTTTTTGGGAGGGATGTCTATGTAACCATGGTGTCATAGCGAATGACTTCATCACAATTTAGCGACCGTGTCAAAAACTGCTTGATGATCAGAGACCCTCGTGGTTGGAGATTTGTCCTAATTGGTAGAAGCCGCAGGAAAGAACATCTGGCCAGCTGTAAATATTAGAAGTGCCCTCTTACAGACTCTCTGGTGTGCTCCTATGAGAATAAGACAAAACACTATTTCCATTTTCAGCAGAAGCCACGAGGGTAATATCTAATATCAAAGTTACTAATTCAGGAGACTCCTCTACTTTTACTTTATCTTTTGGCTGCTCTTTGAGGTGGTGACCCGGAGTGTGTTGTTATGGCGCCATCTAGTGGCCAACCACTCTCACCTCGTCAATCTTTGAGATTCAATTACATGTGTATTTCTTTTCAAGCTACATTTAAAGTAATAACTGTAAGAAAATGCTTAAACCTATTTCATACATTCTTCCATTCATTAATTGAGTAATTTAATTATTTATTGAAAAGGATCCCCATGCACCTGATACCAATAGTGACGGCTATTCCTCTTTCAGTCTGAAATCCAGTACATCATATTTATTACACAATGCATACGACATCAAACTGTGTTATGCTGTGTTTATCACATGTGCAATCTATCGAATTATCCTATAGATTAAGAGGTCGTTCAATAAACATTCAATTTCTTTGTCCATGGCTCGAAATCAGCTTCAGATGCCAAGAGCGTCACTATACAGCACCAGCGCTGGATTATTGGTGTGATTAGGTCAATCTTGAAAGGTATTTGAATGAAAGTTTGCTTTATGATTGAATCCTGTAGAGTGGGCAGCCAATGAGATGGAAGGAAAAAATGGTCTGTTATGTTTCAGTGAAAAGAAAATTACTGCATTTAATCATTTGACTGTGTAAAAATGGCAGCAAATTAGACATTTTGATGCAGGAGAGTGAATGACATTAAAACCTTTAGATACATTTGTGTTGGTTCTTGCCCAGTAACCATCCCAGTGTATTTAAATCATGTGTGTCTCTTGTCCCTTGTCGCGTCATTGTTAACAGTCGGAGGTCCATGTCTGTGTGTCCCTGGTTCCTGTGTGCGTTTTTTTGCCCCTTGGCCTTTTTTGCTTTAGACTATTAACACAAAAAGGACGTAAGAGACACAAAGAGTAATCACCAGAGGGCACAGAGCGATTAACTAGAAAATGTATTTCCTCCAGAAAATAAGTTAGAACGCTGCAATTCATTTAAAAACATCTGTTGAAAATACGCAAATTCGCGAACGCCCTGCAGTACCTCCGCGGATCCCCAGGCGGTCGCGGACCCCCTGTTGAAGACCTCTGCCATAAAGTAAGGTGGTAGTCATAGCAATAGGTGCGGTGGTCGTAGTAGCAGTTGAAATAATAGTAGTATTTGAAAAATTTGCAGTTTCATTTAATTTGCACTGCTTAATATATACTGCTTAATATTATAATAAGCACTTGAAACAACTTGTAATACGTAAACTCCATGACTATCAAAAATAGGAATAAAATGTACAACGTATTTCCTCACATTTAACAGCTGCATTATATTCTTTTTTTAATCAGATTATTTCCACATCATTATGTTCCTAATTGAGATAAGACAGATCGTTATATTTTGACCTCTTTTGTATTCATTGTTGGTTGGTGTTGGTGGTCACGTTACCTGTTACAGCTGGAACAGACAATCATCTCTGTGCTTACGTATGTGTACGT